TCTGTGACTTGGCAGAGTGCGTGGCATCGTGACCCAATGACGTGGATCGCTGCTCATGATTTCAGTCACTGGTTTGTCTACTCCAGACACGACTATGTACAGGCTGCCGGGATAAAGCTTGATTACAATTTACAGCGGCACTAAACATTATTCACCCGTTGACTAATCCAGTAAAGGGGCGGTGAGGTAGCCTGTTGGTGGAAGCGTTCGCTCGACACGCCGAAGGCCCGGGTTTGATTCCCCACATGGGTACAATGTGTGAAGCCCTTTTCTGGTGTCCCCCGCCGTGATATTGCTGGAATATTACAAAAACGGCGTAAAACTTCACTCACTCACTTATCCAGTTATCCAATGTACAACGGTTACATTGTATATATCTCAAAGTGGAAGGGTTAGTTCGGCTTTTAACGGAAGTTTTGAGATTAAGGGAAACATACCAGATCGGATACATTACTGCAAATAGGTCACAGGTATCCGAAGTCAAAGGTTAAGTTAGTTCTCCGAAAATCCGAGTTGGAATACACAACAATCTACTGCATGTGCAATCCAACCAGATGACTTTAAGTAATGGCTCGTGTGCACGGGGGTCAAATGAACGATAGCACTTTTGTCCTGGTGGGCATTAGTCTCATAAAAGCAGGGGCACGGGTGGCCCAGTCGCCTAAGGCGCTGTGCAGAGTTGTGTCCCTTGGACACGCCAGAAACTTATGATAGTGGGTTCGAATCCCGGTTCGCCCCGATTATGTTTCTAGGTTTGTCAGCACCATACCCATGCTCGTGGGTTTCACCGAAGTGGTAAACGTCTGAGACCTGCATCACTTCAGGCTTTCCTCCCACATTAAGCTGACACGCCATGATATAACTGGAATACTGTTAAAAGCTGCGTTAAACCCAATTCACTCACTCATAGAAGCAAGTATATACGTCGTTCTAAAACTCATGTTCCAATAACTATGATTTTGTGTATTATAGTGCCGTGCAAAGGAAGGAGTGCACTTGAAAATTGTATTTGACAACAAAATTACAATTTCAAAGGTTTAAACGTTACTATTCGGGTTGACGTGAGTCAGCATCCAGTTTTAACAACCATCAACTATGAGTGTATACTTTCTTTTGCCCGGTAGTATATTTATCTAACAGAAGGCTTTGCACAAGGAGCTGAGCGTTGTATAAGAGGTATATTGTTATCGTTGTTATAGTGCCTTACTTCAAACATAACCATTAGTAGTTGAGAGTTGAATTATCTTTGACCTTGGTTCAGTGACGGATATATATCAATCTGTTGCAATGTTGCGAATACATATATCACTTACATCAGTGTCACGTCTCCGACTGCCATCGCAATAACCAACCCTGTACACAGGGAATACAATCAATCATATGTATCACTTCACATGAATATAGTCTGTCTCACAGTCCCTGGACCATATTATTTTCCCTTCCGTCCGAAGCACCAAAATGAAGCAAGTCTAGATTCAGGTTCTCAATCTCCCATCTCACTGGGGCTCCTATTCGGTTTAATTGGACTTATTTGTTTCTATCAAGGTTACATATTTCCATAGACTAAGCGGTAGCCTAATATGTATAAACGTGTGTTTTGAATATCATATGTTCCTTGTTAATAGCGCATGATATACCGTGTGGGCGAACTGACTAGTAATGTGTACCACGTGTAACAGTGTCAATATCATGTCAATATCAAACAGTCGATACTGTACACAGACCCGTGAAATAGACACAGCTTAATCCGAGGCTGATATGCAATACCATTGATATTATTCCTATCTTCTGGATCAAGACGCTAATGCATAGAACCCATATATTTCAGTGTTCAGGTTTTACAGTGAGCTATGTGTTTCTATGGACCGCCTCCGTGGTCTAGTGGTTGAGCGTCCGCCCGGTCAGCGGAAGGTTGTGGGTTCGATCCCCGGCCGCGTCATACCAAAAGACGTTAAAAGACGGTACTTGTTGTTACCCTGTCTGGCGCTCTGCATTAAGGATGTAAACGGGTCTTGTTTGGAGTGAGTGAGTATGGTTTTACGCCGCTTTCAGCAATATTCCAGCAATATCACGGCGGGGGACACCTGAAATGGGCTTCACACATTGTACCCATGTCGGAAATCGAACCCGGGTCTTAGGCGTGACGAGCCAACGCTTTAACCACTAGGCTACCCCGGTCTTGTTTGGAGTCGATGACTGACATTAACGTACTTACAACCTAGCCACCCTCCACCCAACCAACCCACACACCAATTCTCCACCGCCATGTTGCAATAATTATGTTAGAATTTTACCACGGCTTAAGATAGTGGTATCAAGATTGCCTGGGACGTCGATGTTACAATCCTGTATTTCTTTCTTTGAGGACAGCGACACCTAGTGGGCTGCTATTCATATTCTTCCCGTTCTGATGTATTCCGAATAGTCCAAACTCGATAGCCAATATATGAACCGCCGGGAGGTCACATAAATACACAGTGATCTCTGAGAACTTATTGACGACTTTGGGGAATAGCTGCCATGAAAGCATTGAATTGTGTTGTGTTTGCCTGATTGAATCTCTGTTGACTTCTCCGTATCTAGGGATTCCTGTGGGCTTAGTGTTTAAACAGTCAGATTAAATGACGCTATTTCACACACACACACACACACACACACACACACACACACACACACACACACACACACACACACACACACACATAAACACACTCCACACACACTCACTCGCACTCGCACTCGCACTCGCACACGCACACTCCACACACACACACACACTTACGCACAAAAACTATCTTAGCACAAACTATTTCTAAGCCCATGTTAATTTTAGTTAGGCTAGTCTTAGCGCTGAGGTCGCTTTGTTGACGTGAGCTCCGGTAAAATCACCTCATCAATAAAACAACGACAGCAGGTGGACACATTCACGATCATCACTACGCCATTGTCTCGGGCAATACATATTTAATGCTGAGACAGCCCATCACTTGGCGAGGTTATTTTTACACGATAATGACAATCACTGCCGTAAGGAATTCATCAGATTATGATGCAGCAGTAAGAAGCCCTAAATCAAGCAAGTCTCGATTTTCCACAAGTTCTGAAGGGGCGATCGGGTAGTCTTGTGGTTAAAGCGTTCGCTCGTCACGCAGAAGACCCGGGTTCGAATCCCGACATGTGTGAAGCCCATTCCTGGTGTCCCCCGCCGTAATATTGCTGGAATATTGCTAAAAGAGGCGTAAAACCATACAAACTCACTCACAAGTTCTGAAACTCCCATCTCACAAGGGCTCCTTTTCAATGTAATTGTAGTTGCTTGTTTCTATCAAAATCATATATTTTCACAGACTAAGCGTTACTCTAACGTACCTATTAAGTTATTGTATATTTAAATGAGCTTCTCTGCTGTGCGTAGGCCTTTAAGGTAATGAGGTTTTGAAAAATCTCAAATTCAACATCGAAACACGATCCTTCACTGAACAATGCACCCCTACAATGAATGGAACACCTATACACGTTGTATACTACCATAAAGGTGTACATGCATACTACGGCTTCTGCTGCATTCAGGCTAACATAAAGTCTATGAATTGAAAATATTTGTAAAGGGTTTTGTTAAATTGTATATTAATATAAACTCCCCTGACCATAACAATACAAACGGTATGAAAAACGTTACTGCGCTGAAAACAGTCACCGAAACACATCAAACCCGTCAAACACATCACCATGGAATAGCCTAGCCTATTCTTGTTGCTTCAATTTTTGTCACCATCAAACAAGGGTTTAGACTTACTGCCCGGCTGTTTATAAAATAAAGAAGCGCCGAGATTATCTTCAATTTCAGAAAATTAAAAAAAATGCAGCGTCTGTATCATAGACTGCTGCTCAATACCTAGTCCTGCACCATGACCGTGGAATATATTTATTTTCTGAAAAAAAATAATCTAGAAATGCATACAAAAGCAAGTCTAGCCAGCACAAGCTAGCTCTATTCCACAGCATAGGGAATTATTTTTTATTTTTAGAGTCAAGAAGGATATTGTGTTATATAAGATTTCAGAGACTAAATGTCAGGTACTCAATGCCTAGTACCTTAGTGTACTGACACAATGCGTGGTCCCACGACTATGTTAGGGCCATCAAATCCTGGGGTTATAATCAATGAAAAGTCAGCGGATATATCGACAATAATAGACGTAGAGTTCGTATTTATCTGCGCCCCTCCCTCGAGTTACCCTTCGCCGCCTATCAACGCTTAACACAATCCTTTAATCGGTTAATCTGAAGCGCGAGTTATCGACTGCTATATCGTGTCATGGTCTCTCTGCCTTAACCTTGATAATCTCGAAACGATAACGCTCACGTGCCGGGGCCAATTTTACCTCATTTCCAATACAGTACTTACGAACATGTTATTATATATACTAACCTGTAACTCGGTACCTTCCTAACTACCATATATCACCTTACAAGTCTACTAGTCCTCCTGGCAAGTTTCTATATACACCTGATTCTAGAAACAAGATTTGACGTATTTTCCTTAAGAAAACTGTTGGATGCTGGCTGAAAATGTTGTTGTAGAAACACCAACCCGTTGTCACCACACAATAGGAAAATGTGTTATCTATTTATTTTCTCAGCACACGATTGATAAGGCATGAATCTCGGTCGTAGAGAAGACGCAAATAGGATACTATAGAGTTCTCGTTTTGAAATCTGCCGTGAATAAACGATAGAGCGTAAAAAGTTGTCTTAAATATTAAATGAAATCAAATTGTAATATTATTTTTTTGTAAATACGTTTGATTTGCAAATCTGCTGTGGATAAACGGTGAAGCGTAAAAAGTTGTCTAAAATATTAAATGAAATCAAATTGTAATTTATTTTTTTTAAATTACGTTTGATTTGAGTCCGTCCACACAGCGTGTTTGTTTATGACCTGTAGTCGTAAGTATGATATAGAATAGCTAAATAGTATATCTAGTACAAAGACTCACCGTTTTAAGGCTGTCTGTGGCTGCCCGCAACAGAGGGACTCCGGCAGCTCGTTCCCACAGATGTGGTAGCCACGAGTCTAGAAATATTGTCAGCTGGCCAAAATCGGAAGGTAATCCTTGGATTAAACTCTGGTGATGCACTCTCTAATCCACTTGGCTTGTGGGATGTCACGACGTCCCCCACAACTTCACTGCAGAACGCCAGAGCGCACACATTCCCTCCCCCCTTCCCGCGACTTGGAGGCGGCCAACACGGACTGGTGAATTTGGATTTTTCACTTGGCCCCGTAGGTTCGGGTCGTGTCGCGTTTTTATGGGATTCAGGGTGCGTTGCTCTATATCGCTACATCACGACGGGGTGCTAATTGAGTTGTGTTTTTAGGGTTGTAATGTCATGCATTTTCACATAATGAACGTGTGTGAATGAGATCGCGGGCTTTTCACACCGTTAGTGCAGTGTATATTCGGCGACACTTTGAGGGTGTATGAATACACCGCTATATCAAGAGAGTGTCAGAATGTTTTGCCACATCACAACAGGATAAGGCCATGCCATTCGTGACCAACATCACAAGAGGATAAGGCCATGTCATTCGTGACCAACTCGTGTTATTCCGGGACAAGCCGAACTTGCAGGTTACGGAAAGGGGCGAGTGGTGACGAATAAAGGCCATGTATGCTGCCACGAAGAACAAACGTTTGATTTGATGTTTGTTTTGTAAAGGTATTGTTTGCGACATTCCTTACACCAGACAAACCCAGTCGAAGCACTGAACTGCAACCATTAGCAAAGGAGCGTCCCCGGTTCTAAGTAATGTTATAAGCCGGGTTTTTTTTGGTTAACGACGCGCCGCGCCGCGCCGCGCCGTTACGATGAAAAGTGTGTTAAAACATTTCTTAAGTCGTTTCAAGAGATATATCACAGGAAATTCAGCTCGTCGCCGAATCATAATACAAAATGCCCGTCCTTTCAGCCACAAGCCTTATTCTGTTCGTTGATTAGAGTTTAACACTGCTTAATCGTGTTTGTTTGTTTGTTTGTTGTTGTTGTTGTTGTTGTTGTTGTTAAACGCCACGTTTAACAATAATCCAGCTATATGACGGCGGTCTGTAAATAATCGAATCTGGACCAGACAATCTAGTGATTGACACCATGAGCATCGATCTAGGCAATTGGAATATAATGACATGCATCTACCAAGTCAGTGAGCCTGACCACCCGATTTCGTTGGTCGCCTCTTACGACAAGTATAGTCGTCTTTTACGACAAGTATAGTCGTCTTTTACGACAAGGATGGGTTGCTGAAGACCATTCTACCACGGATCTTCACGGGTCGCTTAACCATGTACACAAATTACTTAAACATGGCGTAAAGGAATACCCTTCCTGCAAGTCAAGCCTCAGAAGGGAGAAGACGGTATTATCCTCAGGGTAGATATGTCCAGTGTAAAAACCTTCCGATATTTGCGCATGTGCATTTGGGCGACTATCAATGACTAGTCACTTGAAGCAAAGACGTATATAGAATTGTATATACGTCAGTGCTTGAAGCAAGAGGCGACTAACGGGATCGGGTGGTCAGGCTCCCCGACTTGGTTGATGCATGTCATCGTATCCCAATTGCGTCGATCGATGCTCATGATGTCAATCACTGGATTGTCTGGTCCAACTTCGATTATTTATAGCTGTAATATTGCCGAGTTCGGCGTTAAACAACAAACAAACAAAACAAAACTTGAAGCAATATGACGTCACGTTGCTTCATTGTTGAAAGCAACATAATATGACGTCACCTAGTGTTCATGACATCACAGATTGACAACATGACGTAAATAAAATGTCTGTCCAGGGCTGATATTTCATATTTTCTTCTAACATTATCTTCACTTACTTCCTTTTATCATCCAAAACTGGCTCCCACAGGAGATATGCTTGGATTAGATCAAGCGATATCTACACTGTAGATATCGCTGCAATGAAATTACATCACAATGCTTTGCAGACCATTGTGACGTCACTGGTTACCATGACGTCACAATCAAATGACATCACTAATGGCTCTGAGACTGAAGCTGTTAGCAGTACTTTTTACACTGAAGACACTGCTAATTACTGTCTACAAATTGAAAAAGTTGGAAGAATGATGTTGGATGATAAATATAATCTCACCCTCGTGTCTTTTGATATCAAATATATCAACACTCGTTGATAAAAGTGGCAAAAATCCTCGGCAAGCCTCGGAATTTTTCCACTTTTATCAACTCATGTTGATATATTTGATATCAAAAGACACTCGGGTGAGATTCTCTATATAATGACCGTGCGTAACACAGAACAAGCTACTCGAAACCCATGAAGGACTGACTGCTGTAAACCCTCTCCATGTCTTGCACCATTCCTCCACTCGGAAAATATCCATAATTCCTCTTCACGGGAGTCTCTCGGTACAGGACGCCGGATCTCCATACTCAGGACCCACTTGAAAGTGTCCCCGTCGTCTGCTCGTCGTCACGGAGCCGGGGTACACACAATATGGCGACCATTCGTGTCCCGCCGGCCATACACCAGCAGTGATTGAATTTCTTCTCCTATATATTGCTACGTACCGATACCCTGTCGAACAAGAGGGCCAGATAATGTGGCCATTAGGGCATGGTTGACACTGTCTGTGTTGCCGCTAAGATCAATGGGCTTCTATTGTTACCGTCTTGTCTGGGTGAATGGTAACACAGGTAAACAAACTATAAAAAAATACGTCATAAACTGTAACAAAAGCTTTGTATGGAAATAAAAAAATGATCTAATAGCTGAAAATATATCTTCCCGACCTGGTTAGACGGGGATGCAGTTACGATTACAAGATTAGACCTATCGGATTTTGTCGGGTGCTCAAGATTTTCCCGGATTAGCGGAAAGAATCCCCCTGTCATCAAATACTTAGGCAGACTGCTCGTGCGAGTATAAATATCTCTGGCCCCGTAGAGACAACACACACAGAAAGCACGCTAATGGCTACACTCGTGAAACCTATGAAATCTTTCGGTATCTGCTTTCCTCACATGTATCATTAGTGAGGTGAAATGATATAGAGATTAACGTCACGGTCAAGATTATTGCACGTGTGTGTATTTTTTTTGGTGTGTGTGTGTGCGTGCGTGCGTGCGTGCGTGCGTGCGTGCGTGCGTGTGTGCGTGCGTGCGTGCGTGCGTGCGTGCGTGTGTGTGTGTCTGTGTCTGTGTGTGTCTGTGTCTCTGTGTGTGTCTGTGTCTGTGTCTGATTGTGCTCGTCCGGACTCGTGCCGATTTTATAGTGCTGGCCCATTGATTTATCGTGCCGCAGTTTAACATGAATACCCCCACTCAGACACAGTAAACTGACTCCGAGCCGACCAGTCCTTGTTTTATCTCCTTAATGCCGACCACCAGGCAGGGCAACAAAAAATACCATCTTTCTATCATCTTTTGGTATGAGGCGGCTGTTCCAAGTGAAATCGACTGTGTAACGTATTTCCAGATGAGTGAATGCAACGGGGTAACTTCTATTTCCGTTTCCTTCATGTGTTGCCCGGAAAGCGGAGATTGGAATAATTATGTATTTATGCATATGTATAGGGTAACAGTTCTTTGCATAGAATATATGAATATAGGTTAATCACTGTCCTTTGGTCTGCCATGTGAAAACATAAATACAGTAAACTACGCTTATAACGAACTCTCGGGGACTACTAATTTTAGTTCGTTATAACCGTAGTTTGTTATAAGCATATATACAGAATAACTACAGCAAATAGTCGGGACCAAATAAGTAAGTTCGTTATATCCGAAAGTTCGTTATAAGCATGTTCGTTATAACCGTAGTTTACTGTAACCAAGAAACAGAAATTCATCCTTGTCTTGGCACCACCCAATACATTAGTAGACCCCGTGGGGATTCCGGGTTGGAATTGGTCCCACCAACCTATGCGTGCCGTTATTTTCGTTTGTTTGTTGTTTAACGACACATTCAGCAATATTCCAGCTATATGATGGCGGTCTATTATAATCGAGTATGGACCAGACAACCCAGTGATTTGACATCATGAGCATCGATCCACGCAATTGGGATACGATGACATGCACCAACCAAGTCAGCTCGCCTGACCACCCGATCCCGTTAGTCGCCTCTTACGACAAGCATAGTCGCGTTTATAACTTTATGGATCGGGATGTCACTTTGATTGCATGTCATCGTACCCCGACGGCGTGGATTGTTGCTCACAATATCGATCACTGGTTTGTCTGGTCCAAACTCGATTATTTACAGGCCGTTGTCATGGAGCTGGAATACTGATAAATACGGCATTAAACAACAAAACAAACCAAACATTGGAGATTATTCATGTTATTCAGTGTCATTGTCGTCATGTCTATTATCCCCTGTATGTAGTTATGTATCTTTAGGCTATGCCACATATAGTTTCCCTGTTTATATGTATTTGTCATTGCACACTAGTCTCATTGTCAAACAGTATTTGTATTGCGAATCAATCATGTCGGACTATAGGTGAGGTGAAGTGAAATGGGGTTTAACGTCACGTCCAAGATTATTGCACTTATTGCGACGTGCATGTAGGTGTGTGTGTGTGTGTGTGTGTGTGTGTGTGTGTGTGTGTGTGTGTGTGTGTGTGTGTGTGTGTGTGTGTGTGTGTTAGTATGTGTGCGGTTGCTTGTACTAGTGCTAGCCCACTGAGATACCATGCCGTAGATTAACATGAATACCCCTCTCAGACACAGTATACTGACTCCGAGCCGACAAGTCCTTGTTTTAGCCCCTTAATGCCGAGCGCCAAACAGGGTTACAACAAGTACCATCTTTTAACGTCTTTTGGTATGACGCGGCAGCTCTGCGGGCGGACGCTCTACCACTAGACCACGGAGGCGGTCTGTCAGATTATGTACTTCATATAAATCCCCATAGAGAATACTCAGTCTTCTATTGGTCGTACAAAGGCAACATAGCAGACAGGTGTTCGCGAAAAGAGTAATCATGTTAAGCGTTGACAAATAGGGCCAAGGAGAGTTTCCCTGCCTCAACCCTGTATCCGTGTTACAGCCACTGGATGTGGAATCAATAAAGGGATGGGTTGGTAGTAATCGCACGTAAATGTATAACGTCAACGCCAGAGAATAACCAGTCTCGCTTATCCACATACACAAATTCCATTGGGCGTAAAAGGCAACATAGAAGATAAAAATTATATGAATGGATCACTGAAAATCAATGATGACTCCAGGTGTTCACGAAAAGGGTAAGCATGTCCTGCCTTACCGGCACGGTAGACATTATAGACAATAACAAGAAGGGAAAGGTAAATCAACCCTGTCTCAACCCTTTATCCATGTTACAGCCACGTTACGTGGAACCTTGAAGAGATGTGTATTTGTAGGTAAACGCTATGGCAACCCAAACATAGTTCTAGATCACTGCTTCGTTCCATTGTAATCTTCCTTCATCATATCTGCCCTGTTTGTTTCCTGTCGTATTACTATATATCCCTGTTACTGCATTCCGCGACAAGAGAACACACATCTGAAATACCGGCACTGCATTCAACAACATGCTGACTTCAACTGCTGACGCCACTGAAACCTAAGAGCGCCTTGCTCCTTCGCCCTTAGTGTGAAATTTTACCATTGTCTGGTATGCTGAACATGTTTTCTTCGCAAGCACCTGACATTAATTTTTGTGTGTGCTGCTTTAAATGTTTTCGTTTCACCAAATCACCTGGGTTTGTATGGAGCGGGACATGACATGCACAACGGGAACTACAAGGAAGAAACTTGGGTAGAAACCGAATAAAAAGTACAGGTATTTTTTCCACTGAATTAAACGTTCTAGTTTATTGCATTGAGAGCCAAGTACCTTTGGCAATAATATGAATAAATGCCACATGAAAATGGTTAAGACTCCTTGCTACACATGAAATATAAATACATTTTATCATAAAAAATTATACAGTCAATTGTAATTTAGATAGAAAGTAGAAGTTGTCACTGTCAGTGTTTCGGGTTAGAATAGGTCCCCATGTCGGGCAGTCCGTCTAAGCGACCAATCGGCGTTGGACGTTGCTCGTGCTTGACAACTCGATCCATTTTAATCGTCTCTGAAGGTGCATGAGGTAACTCTTCAACTGACCACACAGAACTGGATAATCAACTTTGATGGTTTAAATCTCGCAAGCCCGATTTTAACTCAGACGTTCTGTCATATTACACCAAATATTTATCGGTACTATATTCTGATAAATCTCCTGTCTAGCATGTAGATTCTCACGGTTTGGTTGTCATAAAGTCAGTGACTGTGACGGAATCCTAGCTTCTCATTGTTACCCCGGCCATTCCATGACTCCCCCTGACTCCCCGCCGTCCACTACAATGGCCGCCCATGGTCAAGCACTATCTTACACTGGAGCAGATTTAGTGTAGTCTGAACGCGTGATGGCAAGTGCACTGAGGAGGATCGGACACTGCAAAAGAGGGCAAATACTTTACCTGTTTTTCTGACCCTACCAGTGTCTTACAATGTGTCGAGTTGGTAAAATAAGGTCACAATTACTGATTGGCTAAACTATTTGTGACATGAGGCAAGTGTGTAAGAATTCCGCACAAGTCCATGTTCAAAGACTTACTCTTTTGACATAAAATTACGAAACGGACAAATAAGTAAGCTGCCATTCCCTTTTGGTGAATTCCAAAATGGACTACGAGAGGAATACATACTAGTTTCTGTTTGTGTATGTACATGTCCGTATTAGGCTTACCCGAACCGGGATGGAAGTATAGTAGCATAGTACTACTAGAAGGGTAGTATAGTGGACAAAGCGTCCGCTCGTCACGACGAAGGTCCGGGTTTGATTCCCAACATGTTAACAATCGAATCATCATAATAGTAACGACATTGATATAATCGTGTCGCGACAAAAACATGGACGGGTTACTTCTAAATGTGGAGTTCAATTATTCTCACTCACTCACTCACGGTACCTTATCAATCCAAGTTAAATAAAAGCGACAATTCCTTTCAATAATAAGAAACATATGTTAAAAGCCGAGCATCATTTTTGTATCGCCATATGTCTACCATGAAACATAATGAAAGCTTTACTGTGGCCTTGAATGTTGTAACCCTGATCAAACAACTTTTGAGCAAGAGTCTCATTGTGCTCTTTGGAGTCTTCGCAGAAAGAGCAAGCGAGATTGCCTTCCCCTATCCACCGTGAATAATGAACAGGGACCAGATGGACGTCCTTGCCTTTCCCTATCCGCCGTGAATAATAAACAGGAACAAGATGGACGTCCTCGCCTGCCCATATTCACCGTGAATAATAAACAAGAACAAGATGGACGCCCTTACCTTTCCCTATCCACCGTGAATGAAAAACAGGGACAAGTGTTAGATCAAACTCACTCACTCACTCTTATCAGCGTCCCCCGGGGATTCCGGTTTCAGAAAATGTCTAATGTATGCTGGTCGTAAAAGGCGACAAATGGATCGCGCGGTCGGGCTCGGTGACTTGGTTGATAGAATGTCATAGTACATCTATGGCGTGTATCGTTGCTCACAATATCGATCACTTGTTTGTCTGGTCCAGATTCGATTATAACAGACCGCCGTCATATAGCTGGAATATGTTTTTGCTGACTACGGCGTTAAACAACATACAAACAAACATTCTTATCTGCGTAAAGGTATATGTTCGAAGTGATATTCGCATGTGTCACATCTCAATCAAAGAACAACATTCAACAAATGCGAACAATAACATACATGTTAAACAATCTGAGCCAGTTGCTTCCTTTCAGGGCTGGCATTGTATATTACGGTGTCAATAGCTATTCACACACATAATCACGTCGCTTGAATAGGCTATTGTTGCTGTCTCTGTTCGACATCTGTTGTAGGGACAGTGGGTGTACGCTAAACTACATGCATGTATAGGCTACATACATACACGCCCATATTACGAGGTGGTTAGTGGGCCGACCTGACCTAGGGGAGCTAACTCAACAACAACGCATTCAGATTTCTCAGGTTTTGTCATTGAGATGAATTCACAAAATTAGTGCATTATAAATCTAACCAGATTGTGAGTGGGTTTATTTTAAAGTCATATTCAATGCATTTGGTTCATGTTTTAATACTTTGACATGAATCATTGTTCAGTGAAATATTTTTAAAGGTGAGGTGAAATTGGGTTTAACTTCGCGTCAAAGATTATTGCACTTATTGTTGTGTGTGTGGCTGCTTGTACTAGTGACTCATGACTGATGCCGATTTTATAGCGCTAGCCCAGTGAGATATCATGCCACAGTTTAACATGAATAACCAACTCAGACACAGTATACTGACTCCTAGCTGACCAGTCCTTGTTTTTGCCGCTTAATGTCGTGCGTCAGACAGGGTAACAACACGTACCATCTTTTAACGTCTTTTTATATGACGCGGCCGGGGACCGAACCCCGGACCTTGTGCTCTCCGGGCGGACGCTCTACCACTAGACCACGGAGGCGGTCTATTGCAAAGGAAACCATCGGGAGAGACCCAAAGGCTGGAAGACTTAAAGTAACAGGTAACTTATATTTATTCATACATTACACTTACATCCCCTTTCTGTACACGACACCACTTTTATAACTATCAGTTAGGATTTATGTGTATAAAATACAATAACGCTATAAACAGCACGTCAATTTTAGCCTTGTTTTGTGAATAGGAAGCTCTTCAATTTGGAGTCCGATTGTTATCTTTAATCTGGTCGGTAACGTTTCCGTTTAAGTATTTTTGGGGTTTTGTTTGTTTGTTTTATTTGTTGTTTAACGACGCACTCAGCAATATTCCAACAACATGATGGTGGTCTGTAAATAATCGAGTCTGGACCAGGATATCCAGTGATTGACATCATGAGCATCGATCCACGCAATTGGGATACGATGACATGCATCAACCAAGTCAGCGACGCTGACCATCCGATCCTGTAATCGCTTTTTACGACAAGCATAGTCGCTTTTCACGGCTTATGTGTTGCTTAAGACCTATTCTACCCCGGGTCTTCCATTTAAGTAGTCCGGATTTACAAAAGTCAGGATTAACGACTTATTGGAAGCAGAAATGTACCTTCGTGTAGGGTTTTCAAAACTAACGACGTCTCTACAACTATCTTAATTGTGAAGTCACGCGTGAAGGAACGAGACATCTCGAGAGATGAGATCCGACATGAAGGACAACTGTCTATGTTGTTTCTGATTCATAACAAGCAGACGAGATGCTTAAACTGTCGGCAGAATTCAATTTTCGTGTTCAGGTTTAGTTCGCTCCGTTCATTGAGCACTACAAACACATTCTGCCCAAGACAACGAGTGCACACGTCTACATTGAATGATATCCTCGGCGATCAGAACCAGCGACGTGAGCATTATGCCCGAGGCAGCAAACTGTGAGTGACAGATTGACAACCGATTACGTCTGATTATTATACTTGAATGACGGAAACACGCGATGACAGGTGTTTCAATTTTGGCGACTCTAGCATGACTTGTGATGAATAGCTCCTGTTTGTGCAGTGGGGTGTCGTGCTGAAGTATATAAGAGGTGCTTGGCTCGGACCAATTCACAGTCGTGCCAAACATTCGCTGCCTGCCATTTATACTGTATAACCCAGTTTGCTTGTCTGCTAACTCAAATTAGATAGATAGACAGAAAGACAGACAGACAGATAGATTTTATAGTGCTAGCCCACTTAGATACCCCGTCGCGGTTTAATAAGAATGCGCCACTCAGACACCATATATCTACTGCCTCCAATAAAGCCGGGGGCACGGGTGGCCCAGTCGTCTAAGGCGCCGCGTTTCGCTGTGCAGAGTTGCGTCCCTTGGGCACGCAAGAAACCTATGATTGTGGTTCGAATCCCGGTTCGCCCCGATTATGTTTCAAGGTTTGTCAGCACCATACCCGTGCTCGTGGGTTTCACCGAAGTGGTAAACGTCTGAGACCTGGATCACTTCGGGCTTTCCCCCCACATTAAGCTGACACCCGCGATATAACTGGAATATTGTTAAAAGCGGCGTCAAACCCAACTCACTCACTCACCAATAAAGCCGATCTTGCTTTATCCCTTACCCCTTCGAAGTACCATGTTTTAACGTCTTTTAGTATGACCCGGTCGGAGATTAGTATTATTATTACAAACCACAAACCTACCGCTCTTCTGACAGGTGGGCACGGGTGGCCCAGTCGTCTAAGGCGCCGCAGTTTTCGTGCCGGTAACCTATGATCTACACTCTTCAAAATAAGAAACGCACAGGTAGTATGTATTTCATTGATCCTGACTACACAAAAAATTCGGTATATAAATTGGATATATGTTATTGGAAAATGTTGGTGGTCTCGTATTCAACAAAAACGGTGCGTCAAAACGCAGCCATTGTCGATTTGCAATGTCTTAAACGGCATTGTTTTCACACTTGTTCAAAAATGTCATGGAGGAAAACAGTAAAGCAAAATGCACCTGCAAGTTATAAAAAGGCAAGCATGAGCCAATGATTTGTCATTCATTTGTCAACATTTTTTAAGTTCGAAAATGCCGAGACTCAGCGTTGCCGATCGGAACATCGCCAAAAGACGTATCCAAAGAGGGGAATTGCAGTCTTCTGTTGCAAGCCAGTTCAACGTCCACCACAGCACCATTTGCCGCCTTTGGAACTGATACACACTGTTCAATTCCACGACAGACCGTCCGAAAACGTTGCTTGGCTGAAAACAGTTGCCTCAACACTGCAAATTTAAGGGCCAAAACATACCTATGATATCCGTATGAAATAAATCACCATCGAGTAACCATTTCTTGTTATATCAAATATGGGTGTATACTGAGTCAAATTAAAAACTTCACATTTTTAAAAGTAATCCCATATATGATATACAACGTACAAATGTATCAGAGAAGGTATTTTTTAATCATGAATGTCCAAAGAAGGATTTTAATTAACGGTGGTAACCATAATTTGTTCAATGCACCTACGATTGTGAAGTTTTTAATTTGGTTCAGTATATATTTTATTTTGCCCGGCAGAGAGGCAGTGGGGTGGCCTAGTGGTTAAAGTGTTCGCTCGTCACGCCGAAGACCCAGGTTCGATTTCCGAAATGGGTTCAATGTGTGAATCCCATTTCTGGTGTTCCCCGCACTCATCCATTTTGTCTGGCAGTTCTATATCTCATCTGTAACAGCGATAAATAGGCCACCTGTAACAGATTGTTAAGACAAACCAGTCACAGTTATATGGAAGCGTTCGTATCATTCGCTGCATTTTCCCTTACAAAACCATTGCATTTAGTTGAGTAAATTCACAACATCAATATGTTCTCTAAATACATTTTGATTCAGATTAAAAAAAAGTTATTTTACGAGCGCTTCATATAATTGTAACCTCGCACTGGCAGTGGGTGTCTGTTCATGGATTTTGTAAACTGTTCTAGACATATGTCATATCAACTAAAGGCGGTAATCTTCAAAAAAGGCACACTAGCTTAGCGACATACTCATGTTTTTTAATCATATAGGCAGCTTAGAAGATTTTCGATTATTAAATAGATATACTGATAAATATTTGCAAAATCATTCCCGTTTAATTATTGGTGGTTTGTTTCATGGGAAACCTGTTCTTTAGGAAACAACTCGCTAATTCCTCGTTCACCGACTGTCGATTCCTTTCTGGAAATATGCACTGGCTTCATTGCCATTTACTCTGGAGGACAACATATGCAAATGAGTATAGAGCACAACCAACTGGAGATGTTTTTTCAACACTGAAGGAAATGAGAGGTATTAGAGATATGGCCTTTGGTATAGACGCTGATGACGATGGTGTGTCTGGTTTGTTTACATAATGTACTGGGCCATACACAAAGTGTCAAACATATATCAAATATATAGTGCCGAGGTGAGGTGAAATTGGGTTTAACGTCGGTTCCAAGATTATTGCACTTATATAGCGACGTGCATGCACGTGTATGTGTGTGTGTGGCTGCTTGTACTAGTCCGGACTGATGCCGATTTATAGTGCTAGCTCACTGAGATACCATGCCGCAGTTTAACATGAATAGCCCACTCAGACACAGTATACTGACTCCGAGCCGACCAGTCCTTCTTTTAGCCCCTTAATGCCGAGCGCCAGACAGGGTAACAACAAGTGCAATCTTTTAACGTCTTTTTGTATGACGCGGCCCGGGATCGAACCCTGGACCTTCCGCTCTCCGGGCGGACGCTCTACCATTAGACCACGGAGGCGGTCAGTGCCGAGGTGAGTCAGGCGTAACCCTTCTATATCACGTAACATGGGGACGTGAAGGTTTCCATGGAAACGCAAGGATCCGATTATGAGCAACAAACTTTTATCAAGAGTCACTAAGGTACGAATAGGTATGTCCTATGAGTGAGTGAGTGAGTGAGTGTGGTTTTACGCCGCTTTTAGCAATATTTCAGCAATATCACGGCGGGGGACACTTGAAATAGGCTTCACACATTGTACCCATGTCGGGAATCGAACCCGGGTCTTCGGCGTGACGAGCGAACGCTTTAACCACTAGGCTACCCGACCGCCCTATGTCCTATGAGGTAGGGTGTGTGCTTGATACTTCCACCAATCAGCGATGTTAGTGAGTGAGTGAGTGAAATTTAACGTCACATCTGCAATATTTCAGCCATATCGGGACGAAACAGTTATAATAATTATATTTTGATTTAATAAAAAGCTGTCAACGAGGGACAGTAAGATAACAAGAGTATCACAGTTTCGATTTTAAAACAAGTTGAGAACAGTTTAAAGAATGCATTTTCAATGTACAATACATTTGAAAATTAGTATGATCTTACGACGTCAATGCTGAAGCTCCCTCTGTAGTATTCATACCCAACTGCCATAACAACCCAATCATCAATTAACATAATTCTGAAAATAATACTTGGATGACTGGTCTGTTGTGTGGGGGCATGAGTTGCCCAGTCGTTTAAGGCACCGCAATTATCTGTGCAGAGTTGCTTCCCTTAGGCATGTCAGAAACCTATGATTGTGGGTTCGAATCCCGGTTCGCTTTGGTTATGTTTCTAGGTTTGTCAGCACCATACCCATGCTGGTAGGTTACACCAAAGTGGTAAACGTCTGAGACCTGCACCACTTCGGGTTTTCCACCCACACGAAGCAGACACGTGTCTTGAGTGAGCGAGCTCACAGCTATATTCCAGCAATAGTTCGATGGGGGACACCAGACATGGTCTTCACACACTGTACCCATGTTGGGTTGGGTTGGTTGGTTGGGTTGTGGTTTAACGCCGCACTCAGCAATATTCCAGCTATATGACGGCGGTCTGTAAATAATCGAGTCTGGACCAGACATTCCAGTGATTAATGTCATGAGCATCGATCCACGCAATTGGGATCGATGACATGCATCAACCAAGTCAGCGAGCCTGACCACCCGATCCCGTTAGTCGCCTCTTACGACAAGCATAGTCACCTTATACGGCAAGCATGGGTTGCTGAAGACCTATTCTACCCCGGAATCTTCACAGGTCGTACCCATGTGGGGAATCGAACCCGGGCTACCCCACTGGGCTACCCCACCGCCCTACATTTTCTGGAATGCAGTAACGCCATGTTGAAGCACTCAGCGAATGCATACGGGAAGCGGCGGTCTTATATCAACCGGAACTCACGCCCCATAAACTACACTGGGACTACTGTCCTGTGTATTAATAGCCAACTCTCCTCGTTATAGTGGTAACAGAAAGCCAGTTAGCAGATTAATCATTGCCGGATCTTGTCCTAGGTCCCTATAGTCCTGATGGTGTGGTGTTGTGGGTAACACGTGTCGTCACACACATCCAGGAAGTAATTCAGCTAAAGTATGGATTTATTAAAAGAGCACTGGAGAAAAACAACATCCTTGTCCTGGCCCGTTAACCATTTCTATCCAATCAGATGATCGCGTCGTTGCTATATCACGTGTCATAGGGTACATTCACCATCACGACTCCACAACCGCGTGTGGAGGAAGTGTATTAAACGTAAAGGCTATATACATGCAGGTGAATGGAAAGCAGAACGCTACAGGTGTGTCGAGATGGCGTGCGATCGCTACCCCATGTTTAAGCTGGTGCTACTCGGAGAACCAGGAGTTGGCAAATCTTCTCTGTTCTTTCGTGCTAAGGATAACACTTTCAACGAGGGCAACAGATCCACAATAGGAATTGACAGTTGCACACGAATCGTTCAGACGAAAAGGGAGAAAGTTAAGGTCAGTACGACACATACCTACGTGTTGCAGGAGTGTTGATGGAATGAACGGGTTTGGTGCCGCTTGTATCAATATTCCAGCAATATATAATAGTAGGCAATATATGTTGTATTCTGTGAATCGACGGTTTCACTAGGTCGCCCACTGTCCCAGATACCATCCCACCTTCAGTGTCAGTCATCAGATAACTCGTCTACGTGCTGACGTTTATGTCAGGTGGTAATTGATACGGAGGATGTTTGAAGTTCAGTGACAGAAATATCATTTACCTTGTGATAAGGACACTGTGTTGGGATGATCGGCGAATGAATCCCTGCCGTCACAAATAAGCGCACAGATCCGTCTCAGGCATACAGTATAGGTCAAGACTCGATTATTTAAAGACCGCCGTCATATAACTGAGTGCTGCGTTAAACAACAAACAAACAAACAAAATAGTATAGGTGAGGTGAAACGTCGCGTCGAAGATTATTGCACTTATATAGGTGTGTGTGTGCCTGCTTTTACTAGTCAGGACTTATAGTGCTAGCCCACTGGGATACCATGCCGAAGTTTAACATGAATACCCCACTCAGTATACTGACTCCGAGCCGACCAGTCCTTGTTTTAGCTCCTTAATGCCGAGCGCCAGACAGGGTAACAACAAGAACCATCTTTTAACGTATTTTGGTATGACGCGGCCGGGGAGCGAACCCCGGACCTTCTGCTCTCCGGGCGGACGCTCTATCACTAGACCACGGAGTCGGCCCATACAGTATAGATAAATCTGATAAATACATGCACCTTATTACACAAGCATACCAAAGTACTCATGGAAATGGAGAAAAAAATGTTTTGCTGGATTTAATAATCGACACAAAGCATTACGTAGAAGTAAATACGAAATAACAAAACAACTGAAAAAGTACTAGTCTGGATTTGCTAGTTTTATCTCAGTGCTCAATACAAAATGTACTTTACAGGAGGTAATTTGTAGGTTCTTTCAACATTCAAAAATAAAACTAAGTCCAAATTGACATGGCAGAAACAGGCTATAGGCATTATGCAATTTAGCCTGGAAAAAAGTGATCAAAACAACAATAAAAATAACAGATATGTTTATGTACATAATAATAATGACATGTAAGTTGTTGTTTGAGAAGGGAATATGTTACTTTTACGTTCTGATATTTTGACAATGATTCACTATCCCACAACGCCACTCACAAATCACTAACCACTGACAAATCACATGCACGTGGGTTTCAAGCACCTGTTTTCACCTGTCGTCAAGGTGTCATAGGTCATGGACATTCACCTTGATCTACTAACACCTGGTTATGCTCAGTTTCACAACAGCCTGTTTTGTTAATATTTTTACACGCTTTTACTTTGATACGCTGTATTTGTGCCAAGGCCCAATTAGTAATAATTGAGTTGTTTGAATATTTCTATATTTTGTATATTAACTGAATTTATTTAAAATCTGAGATCGAAAAAACAGGGTTTTTTTCATTTCCGTGAGTACTTTAAACGCTTGTATCGGGTGTCGGTTTTTTTTGGTTTGGGTTTTTTTTTGCTTTGGGCGTGTATGACCGCCATATGACATATTTCTTCAAAATGTAATGAAATGTGGCACATGTATATTTTTATAATGGCGTTCAGCATACGTGTTCCGTTCTTTGGGTGATATTTTAAATTTTAACGTTATTTTGACCTTTTCACGTTTGACCACACTGGACGCCGAAACATCTTGTGGTCATTGATCAGCCATTTCTGTTAAAAAAAACTATAATGCACGTGGCACTATTTTTTAAATATGTACAGAAAATCTGTAAGAGTGTGTCAGTACACGAACTACTGTGGAATGTTTCCATATAAAAATAACATTAAACATTTCGTTACATGACATGGCAAATATTTAACCAAGTAAATGGTCTTAAGTAGACACTTATCACACACTGTATTCTACTTCCTGCTCTACAATTGGCTTCACTGTTACTATGAAGGAACCTAAATGGTGAAGCCCCGGGCCCTCCTTCCTGTGTGTTGATAGCGACGGACTTTGTGCTGGATTATGTTCTAGTGTATTGTTTTATAACTGACCTGTAAACTGAGTCTGAAATGGTTAGGTCAACTTCTGCAGACTATTTACGTATGCATGTACACGGATGTGAGGACAACACGCTGGTATGTCGGTAAACGTTCTGTTCAAAGTCACACCGTCCTGACCCTGTACATTGTCAGGTGAGTGAGTGAGTGGGTTACCGCTGCTTTGAACAGCATTTTTTTATATATTACATCGTGTCGGCTTAATGTGGGAGGAAATCCCGAAGTGGTACAGGTTGTGGCCGTTTAACATCCTTCCACCAGTGGCGGAACACACGAGCACGAGTATGGTACTGACAAACCAAAAACCCAATCGGGATTCGAACTCCCAAGCATAGGTACGACACAGTGACGAAATGCGGCGCATTAGACAACCGTTGGAGAGTACTTTCTGTTGCTGGTGATGACTGATTTAAACATACACTGAAAGGCAAAAGAAACGTCATGTGGATGTATCATATAAATATCTTTATTTTCAAATGCTTATATATGTAAGTAAAGACATCGGAGAAAGTCAGTGTTTGACCCACATGAAATTAACAGTCTGGGGAATGTTTTTGCGAATTGGGAATTTGGGGAGGCACCAGAAGACATCACAGCTGGGGGGTTCAAAATCAGTTCCTGATGTGGCCACCACGGGCGTTGACTACAGCCACACATCTCCTGTACATGGAGTGGACTATCCTGTTGATGAAGGCCATTGGGATATGGGCCCATATCCTCAGAAACGTTACACGCAGTTCTGCTGCAGTTGTTGGCGTTGGATCTCATCCCGCAAGTGTTCAATGGGATTAAAATCTGGACTGAGGGCAGGCCAAGGCATGATTGGATGTTGTGCTGCTGGAGGAAGTCCCTGGTGACTCTGGCAGTGTGGGGACGGGCGTTGTCTTGCTGAAAGGTGTGGTTTTGATGACGGGCAAAAAAAGGCAAGATATGGGGTCTGAGGACTTGGCCAATGTAGCGGAGAGCTGTGATGCCATTACCCCTGCCTGGACCAATATTCTGAAAGACCACAGGTCCCACTCTCTGGTTCAGTCCGATTCTACCCCAAACCACGATGCTTGGGCCGCCCATGGGCCGCACGCTGGTGGTTGCCAATGGTTTGCCGAGCTGTTTCAGCGGCCATTCGGAATCGGTTCTGCAGATGTTGGCGTATCATGAACCGATCTTGTCGGTCGTCGGTGGTGTTGGTGGTGTTGTGGCGATGTTGCAAACGATATATAGTTCTGACGTTGACATTGAATGCATTTGCAACGACCTGTGCACTCTGGCCTGCTTGCAGTCTTCCGATCGCTTGTCTCTCATTTCCTGATAATCTTGGCATGGCTGATGAATCGAAATAACGAAAGCCAGCTTAACAGTTTTGGGTGTCTTTTATACCCATACCATCCACGATATGCACGTACATCATGTTTTTGACAAGACTTTTCCACAACTGAGTCCTATTGCACTTTTGTAGGCTGCGTTTGGGCAAAGCACTCCATTGTTAAATGGACTTTAAGGCAACAAAAAGAAGCAGTAGAACGTTAAACGAGTTTATTGACCACAGAACATGTAACTGCCAGTGTCTGTTAAGTTTTATCAGTATTTTCAGAAGTGACGTTTCTTTTGCCTTTCATAGTATTTCATTACAAAAGTTATAACAAAAGGATTAGGCAACAAAATGCCATTGAAATAGGTAAACAAATATTAACATGAACATGACGAGCCCACGTGACGTGTATACAGTGCGTATTTAAGAATTGACCTTCAGTTTGTGTGAGTTCATTGGAGTATGAACCTTCATGAACTGTATGAACGTCGGAGCTTGTGACCAGCCTCTTGTCCAAAGGAAAAGCCATATACCGTGTAAACTCCCAATTAAAATTTTATATTCATATAAACTGTAAAATAGCTTTCACGGGGCATCACACGTGATCACAGTTCAGTGAAACTAACGCCAACGCGTGATAATAATCATACTCTATTAACACTATTGTCTTGCAATTTATCCTGAACATTATCCAGGGCAGTATCCAGAGCATTAGTCCGTGTATTGTCACCATTCTATTACGATAAACACGACTCTGTTCGCTACCATATATCTATTGTATGACAGATTTAAGTTTGTGGGATATCTGTTCACACGGAGTGTGTAATGTGTGGCAACAGAAGATCATTGGTGTTATCATTTTCTGAATATGAATACTACATTATACTACATATCACAGGGGGCACGGGTGACCCAGTCGTTTAAGGCGCCGCGATTCGCTGTGCAGAGTTGCGTCCCTTGGACACACCAGAAACCTATGATTGTGGGTTCGAATCCCGGTTCGCCCCGATTATGTTTCTAGGTTTGTCAGCACCATACCCGTGCTCGTGGGTTTCACCGAAGTGGTAAACGTCTTAGACCTGCATCACTTCGGGATTTCCTCCCACATTAAGCTGGCACGCCGCAATATAACTGGAATACTGTTAAAAGCGGCGTTAAACCCAACTCACTCACTCACTCACCAATAAAGCCGATCTTGCATGCACAAACAGCCACTTATCATGGGATATAGCGATTTTAGATTTTGGAATTTTAAGATTGACAAAATCTTATATTTATTTATAAATGTTGACTCCAATTTTAAACAGATGCATTGCGTTACTTTCATATCCATAACGATGTAGATATGTGAGTGGGTATGGTTTTACGCCACTTTTAGCAATATTACAGCAATATCACGGCGGGGACACCAGAAATAGACTTCACACATTGTACCCATTTGTGGAATCGAGCCGAAGACCCGATGAGCGAGCGCTATAACAACTAGACTTCCACACCGCCCCTATATGTGAGTGAGTGAGTGAGTGTGGTTTTACGCTGCTTTTAGCAATATTCCAGCAGTATCACGGCGGGGACACCAGAAAAGTACGTGTAAGATGTTACATTCAGTCCCAATATGTAAGTCATCATCTGCAGTCACCTATATGTGGGGATAAGGTGCTGAGTGAGTGAGTGAATATGATCTTACACCGCTTTAAGCAATATTACAGCAGTATCACGGCGGGGGACACCAGAAATTGGCCTCACACATTGTACACCTGTGAGGAATCGAACCCAGATCCGGCATGCCGTGCAAACGCTTTAACCACTAGGCTATCCCACCGCCCCTCCGATGTGACAGGGCCAGGCAATCATAGCTGGTATATTGCTGACTGTGGCGTAAATCATCATCATCTTCGTCGGCGTTCTCCTCCTCAATCATCATCATCATCATCATCATCATCATTACGAAGAGGCTGTTGCTTATGTGGGTAATCCGTATCCAACAAGAGAGAGACACCATGCGCCAACACTGCAGGGTATATGATTAAATATGTAACAAGGGTATGCAACTCATTTTCTAGTTGTCGCTGTGGGACACCGCAGGAGTGGAGCGGTTCAGGACGTTGACCCGCAACTACTACCGAAACACACACGCCGTCGTACTCATGTACGACGTCAACAACCCACACACACTCTCCTACCTCGCCAAGTGGGCTGACGACAGCACAGAGTTCGCCCCCACAGGTGAGTGATCTACTCATGCCAACTTATTCTCCTCCCAACCCCTCCCCCCATAGGTGAGTATACTCATGCCTACTTTCCCCAAGAGGTGAGTGATGTACTTATGCCTACTTTCACCCACAGATGAGTGATGTACTTATGCCTACTTTTACCCACAGGTGAGTGATGTATTTATGCCTACTTTCCCCCACAGGTGAGTGATGTACTCATGCCTACTTTCATCCACAGGTGAGTGATGTACTCGTGCCTACTTTCATCTACAGGTGAGTGATGTATTTATGCCTACTTTCCCCCACAGATGAGTGATGTATTCGTGCCTACTTTCCCCCACAGGTGAGTGATGTACTCGTGCCTACTTTCATCTACAGGTGAGTGATGTATTTATGCCTACTTTCCCCAACAGATGAGTGATGTATTCGTGCCTACTTTCCCCCACAGGTGAGTGATTTACTCATGCCTACTTTCCCCTACAGGTGAGTGATGTAGTCATGCTTTCCTATTCCTACTCCCGTCAGCCACATTTATAAATACTACTTTGTCAATTGCTTATCCATTATTGCGACTACCAGAATAAAATTATATATAATAAGCTGTAAATACCTTGGTGGTTGTTGGTTGTTGTTTTACGCCGCACCCAGCAATATTCCAGCTATAAGACGGTGGTCTGTAAATAATCAAGTCTGGGCCAGACAATCCAGTGATTGAAATCAGGATCATCGATCCACGTAATTGGGATCAATGACATGCTTCTACCAAGTCAGCGAGCCTGAACACCCGATCCGGTTAGTCGCCACTTACGACAAGTATAGTCACCTTTTACGGCATGTGATACGCAGTGGAAGTCTTAAAAATAGCTCAACAAAACGTAAAGTTAATGTATGTTTCATAATTGAAATTCAAATCTACACCATATTTGAATTAACTCAAGATTTCAGAAACAATTTCTAAAATCACTACTTACCACGATTTGTCCTTATTTGACAATGTTTTAGTCCTTATTTGACTATGAAAAACCCTTATTTGGTTTATTAAAGTCTTCCTTTTGACTTTTTCATTTTATACAATTGTGCCCTGATTTGACACTGTAAGAGGCAGGCGCCGAAAACATGGCTGCTCTCTACCAAGCATGACTATAAAGTGACAAGCCTGGGGACAGAGTTCCCCGCCGCACACATTTGAACATGCCGCTCGTGCGCCACGTGCTGCTGTCCAGAATACCGTAGCTTAACAAGTGGTGCGTTCGCGCGAATGTTTTTTAACGATTTGGCATCCTTCTGTTCATTTCCCCCCACTATGATAGTCCAATATCTATCATCATTCTACAATGATCATCATAACACAAATATCAAGCAATAAACATCCAAATTGCATACGTTATAATGTTCAATTTTCTGAACAATAAACAATTGCACTTCAAAGTTCAATTAAAGTTCAGCCTGAAAAAAAACACTTTTTCATCGCACAAATATAATCTCAAGTCCTTGAAAAGCACAAATATTTTCCTATAAATGTCAATAATCAGAATATATCCTTTTCACTCATTTGTTCCCTGTTTCTCTTCTATATCCGTTTTCTTTTGATTTCTTCATCCTCTTCTGTTCCATCCTCTGTATTGTTCATCTGTCCTTTCCATTTCATTCTTTTCTGTTCGTCCCATCCTCTTCATCCTTTTCTGTCTTTTGTTCCCGTCTGTCGCCTTGTGTCCATTCCAGAGGACAAACTTTTGTCAGTTTTAATGTCCACAACTCTCACATGACCATCTGTGCCTGGATATGTCCTCGTGATGATCTGGATCTACCAACTCCTCCGAGGTGCCTCTGGTGATATGATGATAACCACGTCATCCTCCTGTAGACCCCGGCTGGGTGAAAACCATTTCTTTCTTGTCTGAAGTGAAGGCAACCATTCCTTCATCTAGCGCTTCCAGACATGACGTACGAGTTCTTGTACTCTTCTCCATCCCCTTCTTGGATTAAAAAGTGTAACATCTACAGAGTCTGGAGCAAAGATTCCACCCATTTGACCATGTAGAAAATGGTTTGGCGTCAAAGGTACTTCATCATTTGGGTGAGCACTTTGATGTGTCAAAGGGTGGGAATTTAGTCCCTCAGCACCAACAAACGTTGTTATCAATTCTTCATCTGTTATATCTCCAGATCCAAGAATGGCATGTATAACTCGCTTGGCCGCCCGAATCATTGATTCAAACACTCCACCAAAGTTTGGAGCATGAGGAAGATTAAACTTCCAGATCACCTCTCTATTCGCAAGAGATGACTTCACAGTATCTGTATCCAATTTAGCAACAAGTTGCTTCAGCTCATTTGTAGCTCCAACAAAAATTGTACCGTTGTCTGAAAGGATTTCCTTGGGTAGCCCTCGTCTACTCGCCATTCTGTAGAATGCATTAAGAAACGAATCACTGTCCAGAGCATATGACATCTCCAAATGTACTGCTTGTGTTGCTAGGCAAGTGAAGAGGCACAAATAACGTTTTTGTCCGTATTTTCCACATCCCCGAATTGTTAGAAATGGCCCAGCATAGTCAACACCCGCCTGCTCAAAAGCTCTAAGAGAGTACCTCAAACGAATCTTTGGCGCCATTATTTGAGCTGGTGGCTTTGCCTTTTCGTCGACGACAATGTGAACACTCTCGTTCTGAATTCACGAATCTCTTCACGACCGGCAATTATCCAAGAACGCGAGGACAAAACAGCAAGCAATTGATGTGTTCCAAGAACATGACTGCCATCTTCATGATGCTTCTTAACAAACAACTCCGTTACCCAATATTTTCTCGGCAGAATAATTGGGAATTTTGTTTGGAAAGGCAGATAATCTGCATGTTTGAGACTTCCACCAGACATAAGGAGACCATCATCATCCAGAACAGGATGAAGAGTAATGAGTTTGCTACCTTAGAGGAAATACTCATTTCAAGGGCATGTGAAACAGCCAACATCTATTGAACTCCTAACACAGCTGTCATTAACTCAAGTCGAGGGATGGTTATACACTTCAACTGAGCCTGGGAAACCGTACTCCATCTAAATGAATTCTCTCTGTGAGCCATCGTGATGCTTCATGCTTCAGATCATGCTCAACCACATCATCCTAGTCCATGCCTGACATCCACAGTTTCTGCATGGTTATTTTTGCCCTGATGTGAAATGGAACCAGAAAACAAAAGGGATCAAACAATTTTGCTATCTTTCTAAGAAACATCATGCAGTAACTGATTATGCAGAGCAGGACAGTTATCAATACCACACTTGGTGTTGCGTCTACAGGTTCTGCCATAGTGACTGAAACCAAAACAACGGAAGCAAAGGTTTAACTGCTTGACAGTTTCTCATCTCCTTGGAACTGTCATTGATTTAAATTTCCTACATGTCACAATGTCATGGTTGTCCATGGGACACAACTGACATCTGTGATCTCTTTCAGTCTGATTGTTACCAAAGAAAGTCCCTGATTTGTTTGGACCTTTATGGTTTATTGTCTTTCCTTTAACAGCTAACCCATGGATGGTTTCTTAAGCAATAATCTGGAATTCTGCTTCCATTAAAACCCATTCACGTAATGCTTCGACCGACTCCTGTCGTTGAGTTTCAAATATCCATCTTTGGTATTGACTGATCATTGATTCCTTCATTTTCTTCAGAATCTGTACATACAAAGACCCATTGCCTAACTCTTCTAACCTATCAGACTCCCTTAGGTTTACAACCACTACATCCAGCATATCAGCAAACTGTTCAAAGTCCTTTGCATCACCAGGTCGCACTGGCTTAAAGGACAGTATTTCTTCTAATTGGAGAGCAATATGACGTCTCACGCCTCCAAATTTACGTTTCAGTCTCTCAGGCGCTACACCATAGGCTGCTGTGCTGTGACCTAAGTTTTGAATGACCTTCATTGCACCACCACTAACATGGTGGCGCAACTGAAGCAGCTTATATTCTGGTGTGGCAGGCGCTTTGTCTATACAAGCAATAAATGCAGCCTTCCAGGCTTCATATGATTTGACATATCCAGTAAAGACAGGTATAGACACACGCTTCAATTGTTTCCACATGTCTGTACCAATATCATGACTGAGTGAAAGTGTAGGTGCCATACGATTGTAACATGTATCTGAATGCTGCCTCACCATCTGAACTGGTTCATGATGTGGTTCTACTTGATAACCTGATTGCCAAATGACTGATTTTGTATGACAAGAAGCATTTTTTACAGGAACAGCTTTCACTTCTAAGTTCTTTTCAGAATTAAACATTTGTGATAGACAATATTTGGAAGTAGCATCAGACCTATTTCTGAGATAGTCCTGTGCATCATCTTGAGCTTTAGTACCTATCTCTTCTAATAGTTCACCTTCCTGTGTGACCTTGACCATATTGTGTTTATTACCAACAGCTTCAAACAGTTCTGACAGGTTCACAATAACTTCTAAAGCCTTTTGCTGGCAACTGCTTAATTTGTCTATATCTTCCCGAACTTCCATTCGTGATGGAAAATCTTCTTGATCAACTAGTTGATTTAACTATCATTTTTTGCCGCTTCAGAGAGTTAATTGTAGATTCATAATCTATTTTGTTTGAAATACCATCAGACTCAGGCAGGGGTATGTCTGCAATTGTATCAAGTGTAAGCTCTGTTTTGTCCATTTTCCCCTTTATGGGAGAGATTACACTAGTATGGGACATGTTTGTAATCTAACATGTGATCACATTTTCTCATCAAAATTCAACATTATACCAAACGCTCCTGTTATTGACATTATGCCTGCATCCTCTTGCAAACCACTATTCAACAATGTCTCTCCTGTTGATTTTCTCATTTTTGTTATTTGTATAGTTGCCAATCTTGTAACTACTCGTGCATTCAAGTCTGATGGTCTCCAGACGATAGCATCAGCTGCCCAGTCCCTCTTGGGGTTAAAATTGTTCCCTGATGATCTGACGAGCATGGTTAAGGGTCAACAATGGAAGTCGTTATCCATTTTTCTTATGGTTCTCTTGATGCTAGATAAATAAATGCTAATGGTCCGGGATTTAAGGTTTTTATTAACAGTCTTGACCCAATGCCAGATGTTATGTCTTCAGGAGACGTTCTTAAATCCTAACCAGCAATTTCATTGGGAAGGTTATGTCTGCCTACGTAAAGATCGTCAGTTTGGTTTTAGAGTTGGTAGTGCTAAACTCACTCACTCAAATAGAAGGGAATTAAGTCAATATTCATTTGAAGGATAAAAGATCAGTCTCCATTTTTAATGTCTATAATAATGCTCTTGCTACCTATGATGACTATAGTTCTCTATTGAATATGTCAGACAATCTTAAAGTAGTGTGTGGTGATTTTAAAGGGTGTAGCAGTTTTACTACACTATGAACTAGCTAGGTACTTAGCAAACCTTTATTTGTGCAAGGTGTACATGGGCCTAGTTGCCCGAACACCTATAAAACTTTAAATAATCAATCAACCTGTAAATATCTTCGTATCGTATCCAGACTGCGTGGGTCGTTGCCTATATTGTCAGTGCTCTAGACTTGATTATTTAAAGGGTGCCATAATGTTGATGGAATATTGAGATGTTATTCTTGATATCAACCACCGGTTTGTCAGGTCAAGATTTGAGTATTTACAGGCCATCATGAAATAACTGTATTATTGTTTACAGCGGCAAAAAAAGAATAAGTAAATCCACACCAAAACACCCACATACAGCCTGTCACATCTGTCTTCAGCTCAGCGGTTCCTCGTGGGCAACAAGACAGATCTCTCAAGTTTCGTGGAAAACAGCAGTGTCCATAACTTCGGCATGGGCCACAACTGCGACAGCGCCTACCTCATCTCAGCCAAGACTGGTAGGACATTAGAGACACAGGGAGGGATTGTGGGACATTAGAGGCTCGGGGAGAGGTATGGTAGGACATAACAGGCCCAGGGAGAGGGATGGTAGGACATAACAGGCCCAGGGAGAGGGATGGTAGGACATTAGAGGCCCAGGGAGAGGGATGGTAGGACATGAGAGGCTCGGGGAGAGGGATGGTAGGACATTAGAGGCTCAGGGAGAGGGATGGTAGGACATTAGAGGCTCAGGGAGAGGGATGGTAGGACATTAGAGGCTCGGGGAGAGGGATAAAAGGACATTAGAGGCTCAGGGAGAGGGATAGTAGGACATTAGAGGCTCGGGGAGAGGGATGTAGGACATATGAGACCCCAGAGGGATTGTGGGACATTAGAGGCCCAGGGAGGGATTGTGGGACATTGGAGGCCCGGAGAGAGGGTATAGTAGGACATTAGAGGCCCAGGGAGAGGGATGGTAGGACATTAGAGGCCCAGGGAGAGAAATGGTAGGACATTAGAGGCTCAGGGAGAGGGATGGTAGGACATTAGAGGCTCAGGGAGAGGGATGGTAGGACATTAGAGGCTCGGGGAGAGGGATGGTAGGACATTAGAGGCCCAGGGAGAGAAATGGTAGGACATTAGAGGCCCAGGGAGAGGGATGGTAGGACATTAGAGGCTCTGGGAGAGGGGTTGGGACATTAGAGGCCCAGTGAGAGGAATGGTAGGACATAAGAGGCTCGGGGTGAGGGATTGTAGGACATTAGAGGCCCAGGGAGAGAAATGGTAGGACATTAGAGGCTCAGGGAGAGGTATGGTAGGACATTAGAGGCTCGGGGAGAGGGAAGTAGGACATATGAGACCCCGGGAGAGAATGTGGGACATTAGAGACTCGGGAAGAGGGATGGTAGGACATTAGAGGCTCAGGGAGAGGGGTTGTGGCATTAGAGATCCCGGGTGGGATGACGGGACATTAGAGCCTCAGGGAGAGGAATTGTAGGACATTAGAGGCTCAGGGAGAGGGATGGTAGGACATTAGAGGCTCAGGAAGAGGGATGGTAGGACATTAGAGGCCAAGGGAGAGGGATGGTAGGACTTATGAGCCTCGGGGGGAGGTGGGACATTAGATACCCTAGGAGGGATTGTGGGACATTAGAGGCCCAGGGAGGGATTGTGGGACATTAGAGGCCCAGGGAGAGGGATGGTAGGACATTAGAGGCTCTGGGAGAAGGACGGTAGGACATAAGGGGCTCGAGGGGAGGTAGGACATTAGATACCCCGGGAGGGATTGTGGGACATTAGAGGCTCGGGGAGAGGGATGGTAGGACATTAGAGGCTCAGGGAGAGGGATGGTAGGACATTAGAGGCTCAGGTAGAGGGATGGTAGGATATTAGAGGCTCAGGGAGAGGGATGGTAGGACATAAGGGGCTCGAGGGGAGGTAGGACATTAGATACCCCGGGAGGGATTGTGGGACATTAGAGGCTCGGGGAGAGGGATGGTAGGACATTAGAGGCTCGGGGAGGGGGATGGTAGGATATTAGAGGCTCAGGGAGAGGGATGGTAGGACATAACAGGCTCGGGGAGATGGATGGTAGGACATTAGTCCCTAGTGTTGACATTAGTCCCTTGTGTCAATATTATTCCCTTGTCAATATAAGTCTCTAGTGTTGATATTAGTCCCTAGTGTTGATATTAGTCCCCAGTGTCGATTTTAGTCTCTTGTGTTAATATTAGTTCCCAATGTGGATATTAGTGTCAGTATTAGTCTCTACTCTCTAGATTCAATATTTGTCCCTAGTGTCGATAGTAGTCCCAAGTGTAGACAGTAGTCCCCAATGTTATTAGTATCTACTCTCTAGAGTCAATATTTGTCCCTAGTGTCAATAGTCGTCCCAAGTGTTGACAGTAGTCCCCAATGTTATTAGTCTCTACACTCTAAAGTCAATATTTTCCCCTAATGTCGATATTAGTCCCTAGTGTTGATGTTAGTCCCCAGTGTCGATATTACTCCCCAGTGTCGATTAGTCCCTTGTGTCAATATTAGTCCCGTGTCGATATTTGCCCCAAGTGTCGATGATAGCCCCTAGTGTTGACATTAGTCCCAAATGTTGATATTAGTCCCTAGTGTCAGTATTAGTCTCTACTCTCTAGAGTCAATATTTGTCCCTCGTGTCGATAGTAGTCCCAAGTGTTGACAGTAGTCCCCAGTGTTATTAGTCTCTACTCTCTAGAGTCAATATTAGTCCTTAGTGTCCATATTAGTCTCTTAGGGTCGATATTTGTCCCTAGTGTCAATATTAGTCCAGAGTGTCGACATCAGTCTGCAATGTTGATATTAGTCTTTGATTTGATTTGGTATTGACATTAGTCTCTAGTGTCGATATTAGTACCTAGTGTCAATATTAGTCCCAAGTGTTGACATCAGTCTGCAATGTTGATATTAGTCTTTGATATGATTTGGTATTGGCATTAGTTTCTAGTGTCGATATTAGCATAGTGTCAATATTAGGCCTTTCATAAGGGTTCTGAGGAATAAATAAAACTAGTTACATTGTATGTGTTCACTGTCTGCCACATGTAACTTATATACACGATTTCACCCCTTGCATAAGATCAAAGCTCAAGATGTCAATTTGGGCTGGGACGAGTCCAAATTTACTACCCGGGTACCCACCCCCCTATTACCCTACCCTACCCGGGTACCCACTGTAGGTCTCAGGAGATGTCTCAAAATGTCCGAACATTTTTAGCATAGCCCTGGCAAAACGTATTTAGATACATGTATTAAACAATCTGGTCATTCATACACTGAAGTTGAATTAAGTTATATGTTTAATCAACCGTATGAAAAATCAGAAGGAATGGGTGCATAGTCAGAAAGTAATGCGAACACTGCCGTGTAACCATACTTTTTGTAGTCCTGTGGGTACCCTGGTCCTACTCAGTACCCACCCGACCCGGGTACCCGAGTTACCCGTCCCAGCCTTAATGTCAATCACAGGAATGTTTGGTCCAGACTCGATTATTTACAGACAGCCGTCATATACCTGGAATATTGCAGCGTTGAACAACAAACAAATAAAACAGAGACATTGTTACTGGCCTCCATGACATAGTTCCCTACACTATATTGATGACAAGTGAAATTGTCTCTGATGTTCAAAAGTACCAATATGAAAAAAATAAGGTGGTCGTTAACTAGACAGATAGATAGATCGATAGATAGATAGACAGATAGATAGATAGATAGATAGATAGATAGATCTTCGTTGTAGGCGACGGTGTGGAAGAGGCGATGAGGGCGATGGGGGACAAGCTGTTGAAGGCTCACCGAGAAAACAGTCTGACACAGTCATGGCTTGATGAGGTCAACCTTCAGAAACCTGCTAAAAATGGCGGCTGTTGTTCATAGCGATTGGCAAAAGAAGAATCGCACACAGACTTATTTATTACATGTGAATCCTTAACAATCCTTGAAAACATTCCATCCAACAAATGATGTTGTCATAGTGTGTAATGCCATGAAAACAAAGGGAGCTAACTTCATCAAGTGAGTCAAGAAGAGTTACCGGTCCTACGTTGTGGAGATGATGGCGGTACTGCTGAAACCAGGAACACAAATAAACGAAAGACATGTTTTCTCCCAGGACATGCATGTTGCATGCATACCTCTGGAACAGCTAGCGGATTTAGATGTTACAAAAAAGAATGCACAATGTGCACTTATGCCTCTCAAAAGAAGTTAAGGGTACTCCGATTATTTCATAATACTGTAGTAAATCTGTAACAGCACGGCAAGAATCGGTTGGTCCTTAACTTATTTTTGAGTAGTATATATCCCATGTCTAGACAAGAAAGAGCATGATACAGACATTTTGTTGGGATTTCCGAGTTATAACCAAGTTAACACGATACTAGTCCATGTCTGACTGATGTGACCATGTAAGGAATCGAACTCAAGATGTCTGTGCAAAAAGTAAATGTCAATCTTGACCAAATCCGTTTTACACCATGCCTGCTTGGTATTTCATGCAAAGAAGAATGTAATGATATGCATGTGTAGTGGTGAGGTGAAATGGGGTTTAACGTCGCGTCCAAGATTATTGCACTTATATAGCGACGTGCATGCACGTTCGTATGTGTGTGTGGCTGCTTGTACTAGTCCGGACTGATGCCGATTTATAGTGCTAGCACACTGAGATACCATGCCGCAGTTTAACATGAATAGTGAGTGACTGAGTTTGATTTTTCACCGCTTTTAGCAATATTCCAGCAATATAACGGCGGGTTTAACATGGATACCCTACTCAGACACAGTATACTGACTCCGAGCCAACCAGTCCTTGTTTTAGCCGTTTAATGTTTAATACCGAGCGCCAGACAGGGTAACAAAAAATACCATCTTTTGGTATGAGGCGCCCTGGGATGGAACTCTGGACCTTCCACTCTCCAGGCAGACACTCTACCACTAGACCACAGAGGTGGTCTGCTGAGTAGTGGAATCGATGAGTGACAATCTTGGTTACAACCAAGATGACATTTAGGAGTGAGTGAGTGAGTTGGGTTTAACGCCACTTTTAACAGTATTCCAGTTTTATCACGGTGTGTCAGCTTAATATGGGAGGAAAGCCCGAAGTGATGCAGGCCTCAGACGTTTACCACTTCGGTGAAACCCACCAGCACAGGTATGGTGCTGACAAACCTAGAAACATAATTGGGGCGAACCAGGATTTGAACCTACAATCATAGGTTTCTGCAGCGAATCCAAGTGCCTTAGACGACTGGGCTACCCGTGCCTCCTGACATTTAGCTTCATGTTGAGGGAGCAGGTTTTGATTTGAGATGAGCATTTGTTTTTAATGTTTAGGAGCTCAATTATTTTTTCACAATATAAAACAGGTACTCAATTATTATTTTTTTAAATAAATAAAATTAACAAAATGTTCTCTTCTGACACTTGTCTGCAAGAAAAGGCACATTATTTATTATATATGTAATTTGTTGTCAGTAAAACATGGGCTTGATTATTTTTTTAGAAAAAAAAATGGCATCCCCAATGAAAATTGAATTCCCCCCTTATAGAAGAATGTGTCCTGTTTCTGTTTGAGGATGTAGATGCCTGCCTTTTGGAGTTTAGCTGGAACTTACGGTACAGTCTCTGTAATGACCTTACATGTGAATTAATCATCACACAATGTCATATTTCGTAGTCAAAGAGGAAGTTCTTATTCTTATGGTTTGGATTAACGAATGTACATCCACATTGTCATGTTCAAGTGAAATTAAATGAACACATGCATACAAGGAATTGAATTAGTGGTTCATGCTAATATCTCTATTAATATTTGTTTCAGGTTTTCTAATTCCGTTCCACGTGGACCACACCAATATAAAGCACTCGCGCAAACCCCATAAAAACCCATACAAACTGCACTTGAAAATTGGATTTGATCATAAATTACAAACTTCATCAAAATGTTACTAGGCTGGAAACAGTCGTTAATACATATCAACTACATCCCCATCAAATAAGCATCTCGTGTTTGCTTCATTTTAAGCTACCATCAAACATGGGTGTATACTTTGTTTTGTCTGTGTAGTAGTCGCTCACACATACGCACATCACCAACAATACTGTATCCATGGTTATGATGAGAAGGGAAATGAAAAAGTGTGAGTGAATTCTGCTAAAAAAAAACAAGAGGAGACAAGCATGAGGACCTGGCCAGCAATTCTGCTCCAAAATCCCCAACGAAGACAACCCGTGAAGATTCCGAGGTAGAATAGGTCTTCAGCAACCCATGCTTGCTGTAAAAGGTGACTATGCTTGTTGTAAAAGGCGACTAACGGGTGGTCAGTCTTGCTGAATTAGTTGATGCATGTCATCGATCTCAATTGGGTGGATCGATGCTCATGATATCAATCACAGGATTGTCTGGTCCAGACTGGATTATTTACAGACCGCCGTCATATAGCTGGAATATTGCCGAGTGCGGCGTTAAACAACAAACCAACCAACCAACCCAACGGAGACATCATGAGAACTGGAGAGAAGTTCTGTTCTATAATACCAAAGGGATAAGCACATGGTCCAGCAAGAGACCCATTTTAGCACAAGTGTCATCCCTGATGAGAACCTCTACCTCTGTCTACTAGGTCATTATACAACAGCATCCATATTGTTGGAATTCTGTAATTTGACATCAAGGCACTACTGCATCAATCACAGTACACATATTACATTGACCAGAATATTTGGTGTTAAAGACCAGGGTCACCATCGATTTATTTGAACAACATAAAACATTATCTCCATGTACACGTTTATTAGTTATTACCATGTACACCATCATATTCCACTGACACAGACAGTTATGTACAAGTTATATCCATGGGTGGGGATTCCACAAATTACACTGACAATCAAGCACTGGGCTGTTTATTGTCTCTTTAAAATCTAAATCACAGCAAATATGATTCAGTATGTGTTTCTTAGACCAAAGGGCTTAAATGTGATGTGCTCTCAGGAATGCTTGAATCTGATTGGCTCCCTCTAACCAAGCTTGAAGCTGATTGGATGTTCCTACTCCAATCTGCCAGACATGTGCATGAATCTCATGTTTGATGTTTCCTGAACATCAGAATATGTCCAACGCAATCTCCCTGGCGCTATCACCTGTTTTTGGGGGGAGTCAAGCAGTTACCGTCAGGATATTTCTCCTTGAAATTTTTGACAACATCCGGATCCTTCAGCCTCACACCTTCCACCTGGTTGCCAAGGGTGATCCTACAAACAAGCAATGTGACAGGTGGATTACAACATCCCAGGACATTTAAAATTAAGCATTAAGAAGTTAGTGATTCAAGTTAATTCAGCTTCGAACAGTTTTTCAGCCATATTAGCTTGACACCTTTACAATAATGGCAAACTTCAAACCATCTTAACTACAATTCTAGGCTTTAGATAATTTGCATTACTTTATCCTTGTACATGTTATACATCATTAAACAAAAACATTATTTTTTCTCAAGAAATTTAGCTTTGACTTTTATAAACAAATCTGACTTGAGGTTTGAATATGCAGGAGTAGGACCTACCAGTTGGGTTGTACGTTGTGGGGTCGGCCAAACAGCTCACACTTCCTAGTACCGGGAGACAGCCTCTCTATGATGCCATAGATTTCATCAGGTTTGTGACTGGTGGCTCGAACCTACACAAACAGACAACTCTCTCATATATAACACATCCTAGTACTGGGGGACAGCCTGTCTATGAGGCCATAGATTTCGTCAGGTTTGTGACTGGTGGCTCGAACCTACACAAACAAACAACTCTCTCATATCTAATACATCCTAGTACCGGGGTCAGCCTGTCTGAGATTCCAAAGGAACATATGATGGACTCTTGTAATGCAAAATGTGGTTAAATTGTATCTACATTCATGTATGTTATCTGAAAATCGACATCAGAAAAAGTTTGTCATGGTCATGTGAACTTGGACCTCGTGGTAGTCGGTGTACGATTTGTCTACTGATTCAAGTAGGCTGAAATCCATCATTTTGTCATATTTAACAACCAGTAACATAGGACTCCACAGTATTAATGGTATACATGTATTCTGCAATACGCTTTTCAAATGATATGTATTGCAATATTTTTTATGTATGTTTGTTTGTTTGTTGTTTAATGCCGTACTCAGCAATATTCCAGCTATATGACGACAGTCTGTAAATAATCAAGTCTGGACATAATCCAGTGATTGATATCATGAGCATCAATCCACGCAAGTGTGATACGATGACATGCATCAACCAAGTCAGCAAACCTGACCACCCAATCATGTTAGTCACCTTCTGTGTACTGGCATATTGGGTAAAAAATATATTACAAGTTTCGTTATTCTTATTATCATTTAGCCTAAACTCTGCACAGAAATTAATTCACAAACAATGTTTCCCTTCAAAATGTATTGACAAAATGGTGGAAATGCGGAGGGGTGTTTCTATGACGATGTTATCTCCCCTGTATCCATGACTACAACATGGCAACGACTGACCATGATCACTTTGAAATATTTACTTCAACATGTAAAAAAAAGGATCTGCGTGTACAATTAGTGTCAAACATTTTAGTTCCAATATATCGCAATACAGATACCAGTATTGTAATCAATTTTAATTGCAATTGTGTTGCCAATACACAACCTTACAGTAACAGTTTTGTCATGATCACACAACGTTCCCAGCTTAACACCCATAGATTTGACTGACCATCATACTTGATCAGTGCACTCACCTCCGCCACGATGACATCGCAGTCAAGGCCCTTGTTGACACCTTTAGGATTTCCTTTCACTCCAACCTGAAGTAAAAAGAGACAGGTCCGTGAGTGTTCGTTGCTTGTGGCCCTAGTCAGCAATATTCCAGCCATACAGTGGTGGCCAGTAAATACTGGAGTTACGATCAGGCAAACCCTTGTATCATAGCCATTGGGGCTGGATAAGGATCAGCCGAGTGATCAAGCCTGACCACCTGCTTAGTCAACTTAAGGTGAGGTGAAATGGGGTTTAACGTCGCGTCCAAGATTATTGCACTTATATAGCGACGTGCATGCACGTGTATGTATGTGTGTGGCTGCTTGTACTAGTACGGACTGATGCCGATTTATAGTGCTAGCTCACTGAGATACCATGCCTCAGTTTAACATGAATACCCCACTCAGACACAGTATACTGACTCCGAGCCGACCAGTCCTTGTTTTAGCCCCTTAATGCCGAGCGCCAGACAGGGTAACAACAAGTACCATCTTTTAACGTCTTTTGGTATGATGGGGTCGGGGATCCAACCCCGGACCTTCAGCTCTCCGGGCGGACGCTCTACCACTAGACCACGGAGGCGGTCTTAGTCAACTTAAGCTGCAGTGACCATATCTATGTGCTGCTCCCTACAGACAATATTACTATGGACTTGTCACTACACAGAGCTAATGGCGGCCCCATCGTGTTTTCCTGATAGATCCCCCAGCCAAATCTGCATCAGACTTTAAATATGCTTCAGCAAGGTGAATGTGTCATGATCAAATGAAAAATGAAATGATTCAACGTGTCCTTCAAATACAAGTACTTACAGTGTAGATCGTGCAACCATATAAGTTGGAATCCAGACCAGTAAAGATAATTTAGCGGCCATTGCACACAGCTTGTAACTCTGTGTAGCGGAATGTCAAAATCAAAATCCTTTACAGGGAGCAGCACAGAGATACGGTTACCACACCGAAGTCCATCTTCCCTAGGCAAGAGAGTTAACGGACTTTAAAAGTCCAGTTTCCGCCCTTGCCGAACTTGGCTGGAATTTGTGGGCTCGATTGTAGCGCTACCAGTGGTTATTACGAGTTATGTCCCTTCTAAGTTTTTCCACAAGACCAATCACATTCCATCACTTGCATTTGTTTCAAACAAAACGGTGATGCCACGTCATGACGATCTGGTGTAAAATCAAGATCTATGTTTGATAAAAAGGGTCTTACATCACGAAGTGCATCAAATCATGCGAGCACCTTCATTCAAACCATTAAAAGGTTTGGAAAATATCTGTTGACAACGAGTTGGCGGTGCACATGCTTTGCAAATCCTGCAATCGACATAAATCTGCCCAACAGTTTACAAACCGGATTTCTATTTCGTTGTGCGATTTTGATTGGATTATGCATGGGATCTAACTCCATAATACCAGCCTAGTTTGGCAAGGGTGGAAACTGGACTTTTATAGTCAGTTAACTCTCTTGCCTCGGGAAGATGACCTAAGTCAAGTTCAACAACAAGTTATGGAATACGTGAGGCCACTTCCTGGAATCCCCACTGGGCATGTTCACCTGATTCCCATGGAGTTGCACTCCACAAGTATGGGTGCTGATGTATCTCCTCATGGAGGGTCTGTAAGTATAAAACTGCTCATTATTCTATAGCTTGCACGCACCAGACAGTGTTCCTTGCCGTGGTTGAGCCAGTGACCAGTGCGGCCAGTACGGATGATCCGCTGCAGCTGATTGGTCTTTACCCAGATCACCTCGTCACACCGCTTGTAGCTGCAACACCACACAGAATCAGAATAAGCATCAACATCACACACAGCATCAGCATCAGCATCAACATCACACACAACATCAGCATCAGCATCAACATCACACACAGCATCAGCATCAACATCACACACAGCATCAGCATCAGCATCAACACCACACAGAGCATCAGCATCAACATCACACACAGCATCAGAATAAGCATCAACATCACACACAGCATCAGCATCAGCATCAACATCACACACAGCATCAGCATCAACACCACACACAGCATCAGCATCAGCGTCAACATCACACACAGCATCAGAATAAGCATCAACATCACACACAGCATCAGCATCAGTATCAGCATCAGCATCAACATCACACACAGCATCAGTATCAGCATCAACATCACACACAGCATCAGCATCAGCATCAACACCACACACAGCATCAGCATCAGCATCAACACCACACACAGCATCAGCATCAGCATCAACATCACACACAGCATCAGAACAAGCATCAACATCACACACAACATCAGCATCAGCATCAGCATCAACATCACACACAACATCAGCATCAGCATCAACATCACACACAGCATCAGCATCAACATCACACACAGCATCAGCATCAGCATCAACACCACACACAGCATCAGCATCAGCATCAACATCACACACAACATCAGCATCAGCATCAACATCACACACAGCATCAGCATCAACACCACACACAGCATCAGCATCAGCATCAACATCACACACAACATCAGCATCAGCATCAACATCACACACAGCATCAGCATCAGCATCAACATCACACAGCATCAGCATCAACACCACACACAGCATCAGCATCAACATCACACACAGTATCAGCATCAGCATCAACATCACACACAGCATCAGCATCAGCATCAGCATCAACATCACACACAGCATCAGCATCTATGAATTATTTATTACACAGAAGTGATGTGTATTGGCTTGAAGTTCGTACTGCAATATATTGCAATAATGATTCATGTATTGCAATCCGTACCTCAATATACATGTACTATATTCTTTCACCTTTAATTTGTTATAAACCCAACTAAAAATGGACCCACACATCAGACTTCCCCCGCACTTCGTAGTCGCCTGCCATTTTGTTGCATGTTGCTATGACCACAACGCATTACAGGGTTAGAAACAAACAGTTTTTGTCCACTAGTCCTTATAATGATAACATATAGCAAAACCCTTAAAATGGGCCAATTTCTACTAGTCCTTGGGATACCTTTACTATTGGGCAGTTTGGTAAGGACTACAGGACTAGTGCCAATTTCTAACGCTGCATGATTATATACAGGAAGCTGGTCGCAAAAATGTTTATTTTTGGATCACAGGACTCTTAATTTCCTTCAATTTGTCAGTTGTCACTTATGTAAACTTTGCCAACAAGACGAAAATATGCATAGTTTTGAAAAATGCAATATACAACATATTGTGATGTATATTCATTAGTATTTCAAACCATGGTATATCGGTATACCAGTAATACCATGCACCACTATTACACAATACATTTCACTCTTATTTATTTTTTTAATACTGATTTTATAGAGTTGGATTTTCATAATTTAAATTCTTTTTTATCCCATTAAAAACAACTATTCCACCGTCACGATGCAGGAGAAGGTCAGCTGCTGTTAGTCATAGTGTACACCTCACACCAAGGTTGGTGTAATTTGCTGGGATAACCTTCCCCCGCCACATGTCTACAGGGACAGCTCTGCCTATGAGAGGAAGCCACACATGTTTTTAACTTTACTGATTCGTCTTGAGATTTTGGGTAGCCTACCAGGACACCAACCATCCCCTTCCTCACTGACAATGTCAACTCATCAGAAGTTTTACATGACCTCCAAACAAACGTGCCTCAGACAAACTCACCCCCACAAATCCAGACACTCTCTCCCCAGCTCCATGGCTCTATAAAAAAAGACAGAGGCCATTGATCAGAGTTTCTGCAAACACTGTCCAAAATAATAAATCAACAATGAAAAACACACAAAGAGAACATACAATTAATAGCTCAAGTAAATTTCAAACAATCATATCTACATTGTTCATTATAAAAACACTTTGTTTTCTTTGTAATCAGGACATGTTGAAATGAAAATTGAGTGTGAGTGTTCGTTGACATCAACCGCAACATCATCGACTGCAGCCTACCTGCCAGTGACCCACAGGAAGATGAAGCCCTCATCTTGCAGGCCGGGGATGTCAAGTCGCCTCATCTCGTCATCGCTCATTGTTCCGTACGGAAGCTCCATGTGAATGTCCCACGGGGGGTCGGCCATCACAACGGCACACTTGCCCAGCGTCGTCATGTCAAAGATTCTCAAGTCACACTGAATCCACTGTGAAGCAAGGCAGAGGGTGATCAGAACCAAAGCCTCCATTATTATAATCAATTTGTTGATAAGCGATTCCTTCTCTCTTATCTCTACTTTGTTTCAAATGATGAACTAATAGAAGAATCAAATATGTCCACAATGTTTTGACTAGTTCTACTTTTTGGAAAAGGTTGGTTGGTTGGTTTGTTGCTTTACGCCGCACTCAGGAATATTCCAGCTATATGACGGCAGTCTGTAAATAATCGAGTCTGGACCAGACAATCCAGTGATTGACGTCATGCGCATCGATCCACGCAATTGCGATACAATGACATGCATCAACCAAGTCAGCGAGCCTGACCACCCGATCCCATTAGTCGCCTTTTACGACAAGCATAGTCACCTTTTACAGCAAGCATGGGTTGCTGAAAACCTATTCTACCCCGGATCTTCACAGGTCTTTTGGAAAAGGGTACCAGTAGACTTTATGATGGATATATAATATATAACATGGAGGCAGTGAGAATACAGTACCACATTTCTCATCAAGACGATCTCTGCCATAGGTCACGTGTCTCAAAGTCAAGCAACCAGTTTTTGTAAGAATGCGTCAGAAAAATGACCCAGGTCAGTGTAAACTTAAGAAATAGAAAATACAGTGTCCAAATTATTCTTTTAATACTGAAAACAGAAAATCTGTTTTCACACAGTATTACTGCAGATGTCGTTGGCGATTGTCCTCCAGCCCAACACTTCTTGTTTTACTGACCTGTGGTGGGTACATGTAGACGTCACTCCCAGGGCCAGACTTGGACATGGCCGCCTCCTTCTTCATGAGCGCCATCTCGTTCTGGTTGTCCGGGTAGTCGATCTCGTAGTGGACATACTACAAACAAGATCATATGATACCATTGTGCATTGTGAGACTCAACAGAGAGCTGCTTTCATCAATACAAAGAGAAGTGTCCTTAATGACAACATACCCTGCAGGTGTAATAACAACATACCTTGCAGGTAGCCTTAACAACAACATACCTTGCAGGTAGCCTTAACGACAACATACCTCTTGCACGTATCCTTAATGACAACATACCTTGCAGGTATCCTTAACGACAACATACCTTGCAGGTATCCTAAACGACAACATACCTTGCAGGTGTCCTCAATGACAACATACCTTGCAGGTATCCTTAACGACAACATACCTTGCAGGTATCCTAAACGACAACATACCTTGCAGGTGTCCTTAACGACAACATACCTTGCAGGTATCCTTAACGACAACATACCTTGCAGGTATCCTTAACGACAACATACCTTGCAGGTGTCCTCAATGACAACATACCTTGCAGGTGTCCTTAACGACAACATACCTTGCAGGTATCCTTAACAACAACATACCTTGCAGGTATCCTTAACAACAACATACCTTGCAGGTATCCTAAACGACAACATACCTTGCAGGTGTCCTCAATGACAACATACCTTGCAGGTATCCTAAACGACAACATACCTTGCAGGTGTCCTCAATGACAACATACCTTGCAGGTATCCTAAACGACAACATACCTTGCAGGTGTCCTTAATGACAACATACCTTGCAGGTATCCTTAACGACAACATACCTTGCAGGTATCCTTAACGACAACATACCTTGCAGGTGTCCATATGGAAGCAGGTGTTGAGGAAGGAACAGTCTCCCAGAGATTCTACAACACAAACAACGTCAATCATTAGCACATTCCTACATACTGAAGCTTTCATTACAACTTCTAAATGTCTGACATTGGCCACTCAGTCAGTTCACTGTGATGTCTTTCTGTGTTCTGGATCTACAATGTGTCACATTCAGTCAGTCGACACAGAGTGACACTGTTTCGCTATTACTTAATACACAATTTAAAAGATCCCCAGTATTTAATCAATCTAAGTGTATATGAGGACAGGCGAACTGGGGTCTAGTGTCACATTCAAGATTATGTGTGTAAGCTATTTAATATCGAACCATTGGACCAATCAAATCATAAATGAAGACTTCCTTCATTTACCGCTACTTATATTAGTTTGTGTAAATATCCTTATCATGTTCGCTGACTGAGTCATACTGAGACCTGATCTAAAAGAGACAACCTGCCATCTCTAACAAGGAACAAGATAAGAATCCACTCAACGAAAACACACAGGGAAATATGATTGCCTGAACTCCTTGAATGATAAGAAAGAAATAACAATATCAGGAAACAAACATCATTAACATGATTAAGGTGTGAGTAGGGCTCACAGTTCTGTATTCAACACTACCATGTAATCCTTTAAAACCAGGCAAAACTAAATGGGTCATCACGTTTTCAACTTAATAACCAAATTAAGTCTTTATCATCTGTAGAATATTATGTAACAAATATCAAGGTAATAGACAAACAAGGGCAAAAGTGAGCGTGGCTCACTAATACCCCCAACCCGCCTAGTGTGTCAGTAGTTTCAAATTAAATAATGGATAGGGTTAGGGTTTGAAAAATACATTAAAAAAAAGAAAATTAATAAAAACAATTTTTTTTTCTTTTGACTGCACCCCTCCATATGACACAGATTATATGTACTACGGTTGAGATGAATCCACTGAATAGTTTAAGAGAAATCACGTGGACAAAGTTTTCGGACGGACGGACAGACGGACAGACAGACGGACGGATGGAACCTTGGTATAACTATATACCCACGACCTAAAAGGTGATAATTAAGCTATTTATGTTTACATAAATCGCATGAGTCACCATTAAGTGTAATAGCAGAAGTAGAGAAACTGAAACTGAGAGTCAAATATGCCAGATATGTCACTGTAATAATATTGAATATAAAATCCATTTTCTGTTTTATTGTACTGCGTATAGACAGTTCAGAAAAAAGCTTACAACAAGTTATACAAATATGCCAAAGATTATGAAAAATAACAAATTGTTGAACAGTAATGATAAAAGTACATGTACCCTCATAAATTGTGCCAAATATGTAAAGGAAGTTCCTTATAACAGAAATATGGAACTTCTCATATACAATAGTCTGTACTGTTAATATTATACAATTGTCTCTGTCATACACACATTGGCCGACAAAACACTGAATAAAACATCTGCGGTATAACCATGTTTTACTGTATCTCACTGAGCATGCTGTTTGATCCTATAAAGTGGATATTTTCGTGAATGGCCATTTCCATGTGTGAAAATATCAACCTTTTCAGGTCACAAGACATTTGACAAGAAAGCAAAAAATGAACTGTTCATTATGAATTTTCTAAACAATCTTCATGAACTATCAAAACCACAGAGTGAGTGAGTGAGTATGGTTTTAGGCCGCTTTTAGCAATATTCCAGCAATATCATGTCAGGGGACACCTGAAATGGGCTTCACACATTGTACCCATGTCAGGAATCGAACCCGGGTCCTCGGCGTGACAAGCGATCGCTTTAACCACTAGGCTACCGGACCGCCCCTCAAAACCACAGAGGTAGACTGGTAGTGAACATGTTACACTGTACCCCATACAATTTAAATATCCACTTATTTTTCAGAGAAATGTAGTTTTTCGCTAAATAACAACAAAACCATACTGACGCATTTTATTGTCTATAAGAAAGATAGTATTGATTATCTGTTCACAATTCCTACATTCCGATTAAATCTTTCAACAACACCAGATATTTACGCTGAACCTATGTCTCTATCTGTATGTCCTTGTGATTTTCAATCAGGCCTTATACCTTTACCGACCAATATAAAATCCAGAACTTTGCAACAACAAACATGACTTTTGATCATTTCTGTTTTGGACAACCTTTTTTTACAATTAGGTCAAATGACAAAATTCAAGATTTTATCACCGTTGTCCACAAGAAATGGTGAATAATATGTACAAAACCGATCCAAGCAATTGTGATAAGATGACATGCATGAACCAAGTGAGTGAGTCTGACCCCACTGATCCCGTTAGTCGCCTCTTAAATATAGATTTGTTTGGTAATCTATTATGATGACTGTCTTCTGGGTTTTCCTGCCACTAAATCTGTCATACTTCACACAGGACCAGTTCTTGAAGATCATTTTCTATAAATTGTTTCATAAAGATTAAAACATTGATTTAACATGATAAATAAGATTGGAACATGACAGTTTGGTTATCCAGTGAGAGTGTTTGTTTTTGTTTTTTGTTTGTTGTTTAACGACGCACTCAGCAATATTCCAGCTATATGACAGGGGTCTGTAAATAATCAGGTCTGGACCAGACAATCCAGTGACTGATATCGAGAGCATCAATCCATGCCATTGGGATACGATGACATGCATCGCCCATGTCTGCAAGCCTGACCACCCAATCCCGTTAGTCACCTCTTGTGACAAGCATAGGTTGCTGAAGACCTATTCTAACCCAGATAATGAGTTAACAGGGTTTAACTCCAATTAGAACAGAAGTTCAGTTATATCTTGTCGTGGAAGGAAAGCCCAAAATGATGCAAATCCTAGATGCTTACCCCACAGGTGAAAGCACAAGCATGGACATAGTGCTGACAAACCAACAATCATAATCTGGGTGAATCTGGGATTCAAACCCACAGCCAGCAGATTCTAGAATGGCTAAGGGAGGTAACTCTGCACAACAAATTGTGCACCTTCACTGGCAAGAGATGACTCTACAGCTGTAGAGACGTCCCCCTCTGTTGCTAGGCTACTTACCGTCAGTGTGTTTGTGTATGATCTTGCGAAAGTGCAGCTTCTTGCAAGGTGTTGGGTTCTGGCCGACCTTGACACACTCCTCCCTTGTTCCATACTGACAGAACTCCTGCAGCTGGACCCCTGTAATTTGTCACATCAGTACACTTTAAACATCATCACAATACCAATAATAACAATAATAATAACGTATTTAAACTCCGCTGAGTCACGTTCCCAGCAGCATCATATTTTTCATATGTCTGCATGCTACTGGTAATTCCTGCAGAGATGAGAAAAAGTTTATTTTAGGGCTTGAAAGGTCTTTGTTCTTTCAACGTGACATTTGGGTACAGGTGGGGAAGTTATAAAGGTACTAGCCAACCTACATATTAAAGTTAAAAGCACCTGCACTGAAACATTACATTGAAAGAATAAAGAGGTTGACATCCATAAGTCAACACTGTCTCCCTTGATACTACAGCTTCTATAATGCCACTAAAGCTTCTATAATGCCACTACAGCTTGATGCCACTTCAGTTTCTACAGCTTCTATAATCCCACTAAGCTTCTATAATGTCACTTCAGTTTCCACAGCTTCTATTATCCCACTACAGCTTCTATAATGCCACTACAGCTTCTATAATGCCACTACAGCTTCTATAATGCCACTACAGCTTCTATAATGCCACTACAGTTTCCAAATGCACTAGAGCTTCTATAATGCCACTACAGCTTCTATAATGCCACTACCGCTTCTATAATGCCACTACAGCTTCTATAATCTCACTACAGCTTCTATAATGCCACTATGGCTTCTATAATGCCACTACAGCTTCTATAATGCCACTACAGCTTCTATAATGCCACTACGGCTTCTATAATGCCACTACAGCTTCTACAGCTTCTATAATGCCACTACGGCTTCTATAATCCCACTACAGCTTCTATAATGCCACTACAGCTTCTATAACGCAACTACAGCTTCTATAATGCCACAATGGCTTCTATAATGCCACTACAGCTTCTATAATGCCACTACAGCTTCTATAATGCCACTACGGCTTCTATAATCCCACTACAGCTTCTATAATCCCACTACAGCTTCTATAATCCCACTACAGCTTCTATAATGCCACTACAGCTTCTATAATCCCACTACAGCTTCTATAATGCCACTACAGCTTCTATAATGCCACTACAGCTTCTATAATCCCACTTCAGCTTCTATAATGCCACTACAGCTTCTATAATGCCACTACAGCTTCTATAATGCCACTTCAGTTTCCACAGCTTCTATAATCCCACTACAGCTTCTATGCCACTACAGCTTCTATAATCCCACTTCAGCTTCTATAATGCCACTACAGCTTCTATAATCCCACTACAACTTCTATAATCCCACTACAGCTTCTATAGTGCCACTACAACTTCTATAATCCCACTACAGCTTCTATAATCCCACTACAGCTTCTATAATCCCACTTCAGCTTCTATAATGCCACTACAGCTTCTATAATCCCACTACAACTTCTATAATCCCACTACAGCTTCTATAGTGCCACTACAACTTCTATAATCCCACTACAGCTTCTATAATCCCACTACAGCTTCTATAATCCCACTACAGCTTCTATAATCCCACTACAGCTTCTATAATCCCACTACAGCTTCTATAATCCCACTTCAGCTTCTATAATCCAGCTTAAAGACAGTGCTGCAGAGGAAGTCATGTTTTGTTTCATTTCATAGTTTACCGATTTGTTTCAAAATATTACATCTAAATTGAGATCAGCAGACATCATGAACATGCTTCAATGTATAATTTTGCTACAAGTTTTTACATTACAAAAGTGCTAACTACAATCTTAGCCACTATTCCTGTCACCAGTACCACTATCCAGCATGCAAGTGACCCACTGTAGATACCCAGACCCATCAATCCATGCAACCATTACCTCCACGAGACCGGAACTTGTCCACCATATACTGTTCCTGTGACAAAAATGAAGATTCTCAATGTACAGTTCATACACAACTTCTACACGAAGAGTGAGTGAGTGAGTGGGTTTAATGCTGTTTTGAACAGTATTTCAGTCATATCGATGTAAGCATGGTGTGGGCAGAAAGCCCAATGTGATACATGTCTTAGAGATGTTTACCACTTTGGCAAAAGCCATGAGCATCGGCATGGCAACCAAGAAACACAAATAGGGTGAACTGGCACTATTTCACTGAGCTAATCACATTACTATTTAATTCACTTCCATTTCAGAGTGGCTCTTTAACTATCATCAACATGACCAATATTTAAGGCTGAAAAGAATAATAGTCTTGGTTCTCAGACACCGCCCGTCTCATCATAAAGTCTGCTGCACATTTCGTTTTTATTCCATTTTCAAAACAAAACAAAAAATCCTATTAAACAATGCAATCCAAAATAGCATAATTACTTCCCTTTACATGGGCACCTCGTTTTATGGTCATGGCGGCAATAGGAGTTTGTATGCTTAATTGCTTGTTTATGTAGAGAGGCCCGTTCCCAGGTTGATGATACACAACTGTTTATTTGGTTACATGCTTGGTTGAACAAGCAACAACAAAAAAACACCTCCTGCCCACCCACACTATATTTTCAAAAGTCATTGCCTGAGAACCAATTCTTTTATTTTTGAAACCTAATTTATTTCTGCTAATGACCCAACAAACTAGTTGTTTTCTGATAAGGCAGCAATTATTCACTACTGATATAACATATTGTATTGTTTGTTGTTAAACGCCACAATCAGCAATAGTCCTGCTATATGATGACGGTCTGTAAATAATCAAGTCTGGACCAGACAACCCATTGAATGACATCATGAGCATCGATCCACGCAATTGAGATACGCTGACATGCATCAACCAAGTCAGCGAGTCTGACCACCTGATCCCGTTAGTCGCCTCTTAGGACAAGCTTAGTCGCCTTTCACAGCAAGCATGGGTTGCTGAAGACCTATTCCATAACAGGTTGATTGGAGAGTAAACATGTTCAAACAAGCTTCTAACAATTGTAAATGTTTTTAAAAAAGTACATCTTTGAAATGAATATTCAAACTACAAGAACTGTTCCAGTGTGCCTGTACCTTGGCCGTGGGTTTGCTGAGCAGCTGGAGGATCTCCTCATTCACTTTCTTCTCCTCTCTCTCCTTGGCCGACTGCATGGACAACAGGCTCTACAACATCAACAACTGCAACTTTACACCCGGACATGGTTACCATGGTGACAGCAGGAAAAGAAGGAGGGACGGGATGTTGTTTAATGCTGCAGCATATTCCAGCAGTATCATGGCAGTCAACATGGTCAGTGATAATGATGTCAGTGACAGGTCACCCAGAGGCTGATAGCATGACCAACATCCCAACGTCACACAACCATCAGAGACAGAGAGAATGACTTCTCAATCTCCAATTCCATGGGCTCTTACGACAAGAATGATTGAGTACTAAGGATTTATTTTCACCAGGAATCCCCCAATTCTTTACTGACGTACATTAGTATTCCAGCTTTATGACATCGGCCTGTAAATCAAGTTTGGACTAGACAATCCAGTGATTGATATTGTGAATAATGATCAGAGCTCCAGATAAGCTTTTGGTGTTGTGGGTATTTTACCCATGCATTTTAAAATCATTGGGTATCAGTAATTCTATCTGGGTATTCAAATTTCTGTTACCCACTAGTTTTTACACATGTTGGTATTTAAGTTAAATTTTTAAAAACACTATTCATCTAGTCCCTGCAATCTGGTGTCGTGTGGGTTCGAGAGCTTTATAGGACTCAAAAGTACCACAATACTTCCACAAGAAAGTGTGAAGGCAATTGATCATGAAGTAACTGTCATCGTGGAGTTTGGCAAGGTTGACGGAATGCCCGTATATAATTTCAAAATAAGTTGCTGATTTGCTTATCGAATACGCAGGGTTACTTCACATGATACGCACAAGTTTTATTTTTGTAGCGTATCTGTAATGTTCGTTGCGTATTTGATACGCTTGGAAATTTTTTTATTGCGTATTTCTGCATTTCTGATGCGTATTTTACACCATCAGCGTATGATGACAAGCAGTCAACCAGGTCACCGAAGCTGACCTGCCGATTTCATTTGGTCCCCTTTTACAAACAGCAGAGGTTGCTGGCACCTGCAATCCCTACAGCATACATTTATGTACTAAAATAAAAAATATTCTGACATGTTCACAGCAGAGGCGGAGAGAATCTAACCCTTTCTTAAAGCACCCATTGGACCCTGGTGATTGACAAGTGTGCACATGTCCCAGCAAATATTCCAAATTCAGGGTTCACTCCAGGAATTTTCCGACATGGGCCCTTTATATGAAAATTTTAAATATTCCCGAGGTACACCCACACTTGCCCATAGAGCACAATGCTGAAATACCCCATTGTCTTTGAAAGTTTGGCCTTCATTTAAATTTAGGGGCTAAAAGCACAAGGCCCCACCCTAGAATTATCCCTGCATATTCTGGCATGTCATAGCTCACCAGGTTCTGTTACAAAAACAGATGTGGGGCTCTAAAGGTGTTGATTTCAGCTATATGACGGCGGTCTTTAAATAATCGAGTCTGGACCAGACAATCCAGTGATTAGTATCATGAGCATCGATCCACACAATTGGGATTGATGACATGAATCAACCAAGTCAGCGAGCCTGACCACCTGATCCCGTTAGTCCCCTTTTACGACAAGCATAGTCACCTTTTACGGCAAGCATGGGTTGCTGAAGACCTATTCTACCCCGGAATCTTCACGGGTCCTGAAGGTGTTGAAGGAAATACATATCAAACACACAAGTGTACACTACACTATGATACACAATACCCCGAAACATACCCCAACTGTGGGGTTCTAAAGAGATACATATATTTGTAAATCTGCTCAAATTGGAGGGGTTTGTACATCACCGGGGTATATCAGATATGGATAATCTGTTTGTATAACAATAAGCCAAACTTTGTCACATCAATGAAATTGTGTTGCTTGTACAGGTTTTGATATAGAATTGATATATATGCATAAATAGATGAACATGGACATTTTCATGGGATCATCATTGTTTAAATCAGCCAATCTTTGGATGGAAGTACTGTTACCTCGATACTGTCATCAGGAGCATCGGCAGGGCACTGCTGCTTTGACTGAGGTTCAACTGTGTCATCCTCACTGAAGACATATATACACCAAAATTAAAGGGCATGTGTACATGAAACTGAACTCTTTACATTAGAGAGAGACTGGTCTGGCAGTCCTAGCAAGTTTGATTCCATAACTCAAAATTAGTTACGCATTATCATTAAAGGGGTACAGTGAGAAGATCTAGGTTACCCTTATGACTTTGAATACACCATCAAGACTTGAAGCCTTAGACTTCCCCCTTTAAACACATTTATCAGACAGGGAAAAAACAGGGGCAGGAAAGAAGGATGATTGTTTTATCAACACATGCCAAAAGACTGATAACTTGATAACATAGTCGGGGCACACTGTTCAGAATTAAATTATCTCACCTGATATGCCTGAACATGCTGAAGGGTAATAAAACAAGGGCAGATTTTTTGAGTGAGTGTTGTTTACTTTCCTTAACTGATACATCGTTCAGCCAAAACAGGAGGACTTGGCTCAAATGTATATATTAGTTTGATCAAATCCTACCTGGCATCTCAAGCTGCTATTGTTACCAGTAAATCAATCAAGAAGGTATCGCTGTTCTCAAAGTTAATCAAACCAAAACACATCTTTCACGTATTTATTTTCCTTCCTGTCTAATGTGTTGATCTGGTGAAGTGTCAAACAGCTTGGTCATGAACAGGGTCATGGTCATTGCTTGTTGTTTGTTGTTTAACGCCGCACTCAGCAATATTCCAGCTATATGATGGCGGTCTGTAAATAATCGAGTCTGGACCAGACAATCCAGTGATTGACATCATGAGCATCGATCCACACAATTGGGATATGATGACATGCATCAACCAAGTCAGCGAGCCTTACCACCTGATCCCGTTAGTCGCCTCTTACGACAAGCATAGTCACCTTTTACAGCAAGCATGGGTTGCTGAAGACCAATTCTACCCCAGATCTCCATGGGTCTCATGGTCATTAAACAATCTGAGTTCGGAGTGTTTTTGTCGACATGAGGAAACATTTAAAAGCATGATACAATTTACACTCTTTGTTACAAATAAAGTTCAGAATTGTTTCATTTGATAACACGATCAAAGCTATCATTGTTAATTTATAATGTAAAATTTAAAATGCTTGTAACAACGTCGGAGACAGCTTCAAATTCATTTACTCTGATAAATCTTATTGTGACAGTCTTATCATTCATCGTTACAACTATCTTACCTGTCTCTCTTCCTTTTCTTCTTGCCATCCTGACCCTCGGTAAATGCTGACAACTGAACAGGAAGTAGTACAACATCAATGTCTTCTCAAAATGTTTAACAATAAAATATTTCAATTCCTTGTAGATGAATGAAGATAGTCAAGCATTTGGCTAAAAAAAATAATAGTCTTGGTTCTCAGGCACCGCAAACATCATCATAAAATCCGCTTCACGTTTCATTTTTATTTCCATTATATAATATAATAAAAAATCATTAAATATTCTGCGTCTGAAACACACAACCCTGGCAGTGAAATGCTTAAAATATTTACAATACTTGAAAAAGGACTTTAAAAAAATTGATCACATACAAGCTTGGACAACCAAAAAAAACAAAAACAGCCCACCCACCCGCACTTTATTTTCAAAAGCCACTTCCTGTGAACCAGTTCTTTTATTTTTTAAGCCTTATCTAAACTCTGTCTTATGAGACTGTCAGTCCTCATGTACTGGTATATAAAGTTCCTAATAAATCCTTGTTGTTGAACAAAACATCAACGGTAATCTATAAAATAGATTTTTCAAACAAAGTCAGCTTGTCTTTTTCACATGTTTAGTGAGTGAGTGAGTGAGTGAGTATGGTTTTATGCCTCTTTTAGCAATATTCCAGCAATATCACGGCGGGGGACACCAGAAATGGGCTTCACACATTGTGCCCATGTGGGGAATCGAACCCGGGTCCTTGGCGTGACGAACTAACGCTATAACCACTAGGCTACCCGACCGCCCCTTTTAACATTATAAACATCAGGGTTTTCCACAGTCTATTTTTAGTGCAAGGAAGTAAGATTTGGCTTTGCTTCGAGGATAAACATCAGTTTGTAAAGACTTTGTCTCAAACCACAGTGAAATATTCAAAAAAGGGGGAAATTTGTGACTGAACTTTGTGTGAATGACATGTAGATCTAAGGAAGCTAATTTAGTGATGACGTCATTGAATTTGTCAGCCATGAATGTACTGCACTGAACATGATGTTGAAAGAAATAAAACTAGGAAATTTTCATATGTTTGTTTAAACTTGGAACTGACAAAGATTGATGGGGACTGGTAATTTTAAGAGACGTCATTCCACTGGGACTGGCAGTTTCAAAAGCCATCAGGAACATGGAAGTGTGTTAATGTTTCACCACAATTGTAGTTGCCAATACTGGGCCCTGATCCACAAACATTCATCGAGCTACGACATATGTAAGCTTATGATCCTTGTTGTTGTTGTTGTTGGTTTGTTGTTTAACGCCGCACTCAGCAATATTCCAGCTATATGACGGCAGTCTGTAAATAATCCAGTCTGGACCAGACAATCCAATGATTGATATCATGAGCATTGATCCACACAATTGGGGTCGATGACATGCATCAACCAAATCAGCGAGCCTGACCACCCGATCCTGTTAGTCGCCTTTTACGACAAGCATAGTCACCTTTTACGGCAAGCATGGGTTGCTGAAGACCTATTCTACCCCGGAATCTTCACGGGTCTGAGGATCATGGAGCTAAGATAGGTCAAATGGCTGTGGACACTCTGTGGATCATGGAGTTAAGATAGGTCAAATGGCTGTGGACACTCTGTGGATCATGGAGTTAAGATAGGTCAAATGGCTGTGGACACTCTGTGGATCATGGAGCTAAGATAGGTCAAATGGCTGTGGACTCTCTGTGGATCATGGAGTTAAGATAGGTCAAATGGCTGTGGACACTCTGTGGATCATGGAGCTAAGATAGGTCAAATGGCTGTGGACTCTCTGTGGATCATGGAGTTAAGATAGGTCAAATGGCTGCGGACTCTCTGAGGATCATGGAGTTAAGATAGGTCAAATGGCTGTGGACACTCTGTGGATCATGGAGCTAAGATAGGTCAAATGGCTGTGGACTCTCTGTGGATCATGGAGTTAAGATAGGTCAAATGGCTGTGGACACTCTGTGGATCATGGAGTTAAGATAGGTCAAATGGCTGTGGACACTCTGTGGATCATGGAGCTAAGATAGGTCAAATGGCTGTGGACACTCTGTGGATCATGGAGCTAAGATAGGTCAAATGGCTGTGGACACTCTGTGGATCATGGAGTTAAGATAGGTCAAATGGCTGTGGACACTCTGTGGATCATGGAGCTAAGATAGGTCAAATGGCTGTGGACACTCTGTGGATCATGGAGTTAAGATAGGTCAAATGGCTGTGGACACTCTGTGGATCATGGAGTTAAGATAGGTCAAATGGCTGTGGACACTCTGTGGATCATGGAGCTAAGATAGGTCAAATGGCTGTGGACACTCTGTGGATCATGGAGCTAAGATAGGTCAAATGGCTGTGGACACTCTGTGGATCATGGAGTTAAGATAGGTCAAATGGCTGTGGACACTCTGTGGATCATGGAGTTAAGATAGGTCAAATGGCTGTGGACACTCTGTGGATCATGGAGCTAAGATAGGTCAAATGGCTGTGGACCCTCTGTGGATCATGGAGCTAAGATAGGTCAAATGGCTGTGGACACTCTGAGGATCATGGAGCTAAGATAGGTCAAATGGCTGTGGACACTCTGTAGATCATGGAGCTAAGATAGGTCAAATGGCTGTGGACACTCTGTGGATCATGGAGTTAAGATAGGTCAAATGGCTGTGGACACTCTGTGGATCATGGAGTTAAGATAGGTCAAATGGCTGTGGACACTCTGTGGATCATGGAGCTAAGATAGGTCAAATGGCTGTGGACACTCTGTGGATCATGGAGCTAAGATAGGTCAAATGGCTGTGGACACTCTGTGGATCATGGAGCTAAGATAGGTCAAATGGCTGTGGACACTCTGTGGATCATGGAGCTAAGATAGGTCAAATGGCTGTGGACACTCTGTGGATCATGGAGCTAAGATAGGTCAAATGGCTGTGGACACTCTGTGGATCATGGAGCTAAGATAGGTCAAATGGCTGTGGACACTCTGTGGATCATGGAGTTAAGATAGGTCAAATGGCTGTGGACACTCTGTGGATCATGGAGTTAAGATAGGTCAAATGGCTGTGGACACTCTGAGGATCATGGAGCTAAGATAGGTCAAATGGCTGTGGACACTCTGAGGATCATGGAGCTAAGATAGGTCAAATGGCTGTGGACACTCTGTGGATCATGGAGCTAAGATAGGTCAAATGGCTGTGGACACTCTGTGGATCATGGAGTTAAGATAGGTCAAATGGCTGTGGACACTCTGAGGATCATGGAGCTAAGATAGGTCAAATTGCTGTGGACACTCTGAGGATCATGGAGCTAAGATAGGTCAAATGGCTGTGGACACTCTGTGGATCATGGAGTTAAGATAGGTCAAATTGCTGTGGACACTCTGTGGATCATGGAGCTAAGATAGGTCAAATGGCTGCGGACACTCTGTGGATCATGGAGCTAAGATAGGTCAAATGGCTGTGGACACTCTGTGGATCATGGAGCTAAGATAGGTCAAATGGCTGTGGACACTCTGTGGATCATGGAGTTAAGATAGGTCAAATTGCTGTGGACACTCTGTGGATCATGGAGTTAAGATAGGTCAAATGGCTGTGGACACTCTGTGGATCATGGAGCTAAGATAGGTCAAATTGCTGTGGACACTCTGTGGATCATGGAGTTAAGATAGGTCAAATGGCTGTGGACACTCTGTGGATCATGGAGTTAAGATAGGTCAAATGGCTGCGGACACTCTGTGGATCATGGAGCTAAGATAGGTCAAATGGCTGTGGACACTCTGTGGATCATGGAGCTAAGATAGGTCAAATGGCTGTGGACACTCTGTGGATCATGGAGTTAAGATAGGTCAAATTGCTGTGGACTCTCTGTGGATCATGGAGTTAAGATAGGTCAAATGGCTGTGGACACTCTGTGGATCATGGAGTTAAGATAGGTCAAATGGCTGTGGACACTCTGTGGATCATGGAGCTAAGATAGGTCAAATGGCTGTGGACACTCTGTGGATCATGGAGCTAAGATAGGTCAAATGGCTGTGGACACTCTGTGGATCATGGAGTTAAGATAGGTCAAATGGCTGTGGACACTCTGTGGATCATGGAGCTAAGATAGGTCAAATGGCTGTGGACACTCTGTGGATCATGGAGCTAAGATAGGTCAAATGGCTGTGGACACTCTGTGGATCATGGAGTTAAGATAGGTCAAATGGCTGTGGACACTCTGTGGATCATGGAGCTAAGATAGGTCAAATGGCTGTGGACGCTCTGTGGATCATGGAGTTAAGATAGGTCAAATGGCTGTGGACACTCTGTGGATCATGGAGCTAAGATAGGTCAAATGGCTGTGGACACTCTGTGGATCATGGAGTTAAGATAGGTCAAATGGCTGTGGACACTCTGTGGATCATGGAGTTAAGATAGGTCAAATGGCTGTGGACACTCTGTGGATCATGGAGTTAAGATAGGTCAAATGGCTGTGGACACTCTGTGGATCATGGAGTTAAGATAGGTCAAATGGCTGTGGACACTCTGTGGATCATGGAGCTAAGATAGGTCAAATGGCTGTGGACACTCTGTGGATGAGGACCCTGATCATCGCAAGCAAAGGTCACACAATGTAATACAACAACCTCAAGTACGCAACACACTGAAGTAAACACTAGTTCTTGTTCATCAGGACTAGTAAACATAGTAACGGGTTTCAGCTACTAGCCGGGACTAATAAAACCCTAAATAAAAGTAAGATGGATGAATACACAAACAGCATGCAGAATTTGCAACCGACCTTTGCCAGATCCAGCGAGTTGACAACAAGGTTTTTATCTTTAGTGGAAATTCTGAAGAGAAAGCAAGGTTGATATGAAAATTATGTGCAATTGCTATGTACATGATGTAACAAATTCATTAAATGAATTTTCTAAAAAAATCTGTAGTTTAACCTCATACAGTGAAAACTTTGATTATGTTCATGTTTGTGATAACATTGATCAGGCCAACTGTGATTGGAATGATATGGAAGTCTCAAAACAAACACATCCCAGTTTTCAACATCTCATGTATTTGTTCAAACCATTTATTTTGGAAATCCATATTGGAACCAACATGACGGATAACTATGGTTACCATACAAACTACAAAACTACCAATGTCATCATAATTATTATTATTTACAAGAATAGTAACATAAGATATGACCAAGGATCATAATCAAATGAGTTTTGGACATATGATCAGCAGAGTGAGTGAGTGAGTGAGTGAGTATGTTGGGCTTAACACCACTTTAAACAGTATTCCAGTAATATCACAGTGTGTCAGCTTAATGTGGGAGGAAAGCCCGAAGTGATACAGGTCTTAGACGTTTACCACTTCGGTGAAACCCATGAGCACGGGTATGGTGCTGCCAAACCTAGAAACATAATCGGGGCAAACCGTGATTCGCCTTAGACGACTTGGCCACCCGTGCCCCCTATGATCAGCAGACCCTGGCCTGACAACTCTAGAGACAGTGTCATTTTTTGTTTTAACAGAGGGACTATGAGCCATGTTAGCAGCTGGGCTTAATAGATCAAATGAACTTTTTTCTAAACTCAAGCTTTGAACTACTGTACTGGCTAAAGTCTCAGACTGAAACTATCTTCTCCCACTCACTTGATCATCTGTTGAGCTGCAAATTTTTGTAACAGTTCTTCGATGCTTGACAGCTGCGTCTCCCTCCCCAGCATCTTTGTTGTAAGTTCTGTTATCATCCGGGAGTCAGAAGGGATCTCCAGGTTGAAGTCACACAAGACCAGAAGCAGGTTCCTCTCCACATCAGGGTCCACGGAGTCGGACTTCTTGGACGCTGCTGCTGCCGTTGATTGTGAGGACGGCGACGGACTGACACTCCTGGTTGTTGCCGGAGACTGAGAGGTACTAGAAGCCACACTCACTTGGGACGAGGCTGACGAAGACTCTAGAATCATTCATTATGACAATTTGTTATGGGTTCCTGCATGTCAAGTTCATAGGGTAAAATCTGGTTATTTCGTCCATAGGTAGTTTGTTTTCAAGCAACCATTCAGGCTTCCATGAGCTTAAAAGCATAAATTTAGCCTAGGTAGTAAATATAGTAAAGTGAAGTTTGTTGAGAGTATAATTAAATACATGTACTAGGGGTAGTTACCTGCAGCTCACTGAATCATTTATAGCAGTAGGATGATTCAGTGATGATCATCATATTTGTTAAATAACCACATGGAAAAACACTGACTCTGGACCCAAACATCTCTGTTTACATGGAACTTTCATCACCAGCTTGCCCTTTTTTCTGTATAAAAGTCCTTAACCTCAAAATATTTAAATGTACTGTATCACGACTTTGTGCCTAACTATGCTAACAATCCCAGTAGCATCCATGCTTTATCACATAACCAGCGGGTCTGTGCACAAAAAAATCAGTCTTTTTTTCCAATGTTACAAAATAATCTGCATGTATGTGGCATGAATAATGATGAGTTAAAGGTATGAAAGACGAAGTCTGATTGGTTCATCTATATGGTTCATGCTGATCTAAATTATGCTACCTGAACCCTTCACCATGGTCAAACAGGCGAGGGTTAGTAGAAATTGATTTAACAACTTTACAGATAACTTGGCCTTTGGACTTTCTTAAGATTACAGTCAGTCGCTAATCAAATCACCCAGTAAATATGGTAAATGAAAAGTGGTATACCTGTAGCTGTTGTCACGGTACTAGATGGTGAGGCACTTGTCGATGCAGGTGCTTTCAATTCAGCAACCAAGCCTTCTCGCTCTCTCTTCCTTTGCAGAAGCTTCGCTCGGAGGCTGTTATGTCGGCTTTTCACAGCCTGGATATCATCCCAAGTATCTGACATGATCAAATTCTCTAATGTCTGCTGATATGAACAAAGATTTTACACCGTAATATTAACACGTAGAGATGTTCATGTTATTGTCTCCAAAAAATCCGCCATTTCCAAATGAGAAGTTATTTCCTTACCAGTGATTTCAATCACAAATATCCATATCGTGAATGATCAAAAATATGTTTTCTAAGCTTTGCAGGAGAGCTCTTAATTATAATTCTCAGATCACCAAGTAGGGGAAACTGTGCATGAATGATGTATAAAATAGAAACAATGATTCTCATAAATGATTACTCCCATTTTTGACTGGGATCATGTCTACTAATATCTTAAAACGCAATGTCAGTTGCGCGCACCATTAGTGGAACCAGTTTACACTGTGTGTATGGGAGATAACTGTTGTTGACAAAAAGAAACCACCTGTGATAAATGAAGTGTCGTAAAATCTTTCGGTATTTATTGTTGGGTAGCATAAATACCAAATTTCTTTAAACGTCCCATCCACAACCGTACAAATACTTTAAACTTCAGATATTTTAGACTTTTTGATTGAATATATACAAAGGCAGACTCTCTGCATTTTGAGGGGATAATGTGCCTCATGCAGCATTATGCCAGTTCACTGTGTACAAGGTGGAGGTGGGGTAGCCAAGTAGTTAAAGCGTTCGCTCGTCACGCCGAGTACCAAGTTTCGATTCCCGACATGGGTACAATGTGTGAAGCCCATTTCTGGTTTCCCCTGCCATGATATTGCTGAAATATTGCTAACAGCGGCGTAAACCCAAACTCGATCACTGTGAACAAGGTTGGCTAGTGACAAAATTATCATATATATACTGACTCGGAGCCGACCAGACCTTGTTTTAGCCTCTTAATGCCGAGAGCCTGACGCGGCCAGGGATCGAACCACCGACCTTCCGCTCTCCGGGCAGACGCTCTACCACAACCACGGAGGTCGAACTCATGGAAGTAAACATGGGTACTTACTGCTCCATGGCTGAGAGTGAATGAGTGACTTTGGTTCTACGCCGCTTTTAGCAATATTCCAGCAATATCTAAACAACAAGGCCTATGAAAGCGAACCTCTAAACAACAAGGCCCATGAAAGTGAACCTCTAAACAACAAGGCCCATGAAAGCGAACCTCTAAACAACAAGGCCCATAAAAGTGAACCTCTAAACAACAAGGCCCATGAAAGCGAACCTCTAAACAACAAGGCCCATAAAAGCGACGATGCTGAGATGTAGCGAGGGTGATCCACGGTCTGAACAGTTCACATCCAGAAAGAAAATGTATTTTTTGGTTTTCATTTTTCAACCATCTTTGCATGTTACAGAAATTCGATATGTAGGAATTATGTTATGTAGGAAATTATTATATGAAACCTCTCCTGGTGTATTTTTATTTTTGACCCTGCTGTGATCATGAAGTATTCTTCTGTGGCGAACTCTGGTTGTTTATGTTGCGATGTTCTTGTTTACTCTTCCATTGCACCTTTAAATCCAACATTTGCAAAATATTCCACAACTTTGTGTATTCATTTTCATTGTCTAGAGTGTGATGTCCTTCGCATTATCTACTACGATAGCGTGAATATCTTACCATACAAGGATCAAATATGTAGAGCATATCTTGCCGGGCAAAAGAAAGTACCACTTGATAAATGGATTTGACCAAACGTTACTAGGCTGAAAGAAGCCGAAACACTGCAAACTTAGGGTCCAAAACACAACTTTGATTCCCGTATCAAATACACCATGATCGAATAACCTTTTCATATTCATTTCATTTTTAACCACCATGAAACATGGGTTCACACTTTCTTTTGGCCAGCAGTGTATGTGGAATGTGAGGAATCTTCCGCCATATGGCAGTTGGAAAGATGCCCTTTTGTTATATATAGTTTTATACTATTCAATGTTTGATAATGATAATCATTCTATTCAATGACGTACACAATTGTTGGGATTGGTTTGCCAGTGACTGACATGGGGACTTGATAGTCAATGACTGACATGAATGAAGATGGGATAGTCAGTGATTGACGTGGGGATTGGATAGTAAATGACTGACATGGGGATTGGATAGTCAATGACTGACATGGGGATTGGATAGTCAATGACTGAATGGGGACTGGATAGTCAATGATTGTCTTGGGGGTTGGATAGTCAATGATTGACATTGGGATTGGATAGTCAATGATTGACGTGGGGATTGAATAGTCAATGACTGACATGGGGATTGGATAGTCAATGACTGATGTAGGGATTGGATAGTCAATGATTGACATGGGGATTGGATAGTCAATGATTGAAATCGGGATTGGGTAGTCAAAGATTGACATGGTGATTGGATAGTCAATGATTTACATGGGGATTGGATAGTCAATGACTGACATGGGGATTTGATAGTCAATGACTGACATGGGGATTGAATAGTCAATGATTGACATGGGGATTGGATAGTCAATGACTGACATGGGGATTGGATAGTCAATGACTGACATGGAGATTGGATAGTCAATGATTGACATGGGGATTGGATAGTCAATGATTGACATGGGGATGGGATAGTCAATGATTGACATGGGGATTGGATAGTCAATGACTGACATGGGGATTGGATAGTCAATGACTGACATGGGGATTGGATAGTCAGTGACTGACATGGGGATTGGATAGTCAATTGTTGACATGGGGATTGGATAGTCAATGACTGGCATGGGGATTGGATAGTCAGTGGCTGACATTGGGATTGGATAGTCAGTGCCTGACGTGGGGATTGGATAGTCAGTGACTTACATTGGGATTGGATAGTCAGTGACTGACGTGGGGATTGGATAGTCAATGACTGACAGGGGGATTGGATAGTCAGTGACTGACATGGTGATTGGATAGTCAGTGACTGACGTGGGGATTGGATAGTCAATTGTTGACATGGGGATTGGATAGTCAATGACTGGCATGGGGATTGGATAGTCAGTGCCTGACATGGGGATTGGATAGTCAGTGACTGACATGGGGATTGGATAGTCAGTGACTGACGTGGGGATTGGATAGTCAATTGTTGACATGGGGATTGGATAGTCAATGACTGGCATGGGGATTGGATAGTCAGTGGCTGACATGGGGATTGGATAGTCAGTGCCTGACGTGGGGATTGGATAGTCAGTGACTTACATTGGGATTGGATAGTCAGTGACTGACATGGGGATTGGATAGTCAATGACTGACAGGGGGATTGGATAGTCAATGACTGACGTGGGGATTGGATAGTCAATGACTGACAGGGGGATTGGATAGTCAATGACTGACGTGGGGATTAGATAGTCAATGATTGACGTGGGGATTGGATAGTCAGTGAATGACATGGGGATTGGATAGTCAATGACTGACAATGGGAGTGGATAGTCAATGGCTGACATCGGGACTGGATAGTCAATGATTGACGTGGGGATTGGATAGTCAATGATTGACGTGGGGATTGGATAGTCAATGACTGACACGGGGATTGGATAGTCAATGACTGACACGGGGATTGGATAGTCAATGATTGACACGGGGATTGGATAGTCAATGACTGACATGGGGATTGGATAGTCAATGATTGACACGGGGATTGGATAGTCAATTATTATTGAGTGCACAATGATCCAGTGACCGGGGTAGTAACGTTTTGAGCATACCACTGAGTGGTATGGAAATATGTGCAACACAAATGGCCTATTATTATTATAGAACGGCAATGTTTGGAATGCCCAAATGAAGTATAACACATGGCCCTGTAGGCCATTATGAGTTTCAGTAGCGTACCGGGAACCTTATCAACCATTGCGACTTCAAAAACCAACATGATTAAACTTAAGAAACGTGAACGTATTTGTTGAACGCCCTGCTGAGATTGTATTTTGCTTAACGCTGCATCGGCTAGTTTGAGTTATTTGCCCCGAGAACAACGCCTCAACTACAGACAGTGTTGTGGAGAAGGTTAGTTTGTATACGGGGATTCTTGAAACCGAACTGTTAAACATAACAAGATTTAATTGCACCATGGCTGGTATTAATCTATCCTTGTCGTCCAGGAATGTGTATATCTCGTTCTATTACCACAATCATGTATTGTAACACGTTTTGGGAAAAAACCTTAGAGTGTATATATACGTTGAAGTGTTGGGAATATTTTCTTAACCCCCATCAGAATTAGGAGTGTTTGTTTGTTTGATTGATTGTTTGTTTGTTGTTAACGCCACACTCAGCAATATTCCAGCTATATGACGGTGGTCTGTAAATAATCGAGTCTGGACCAGACAATCCGGTGATTGACACCATGAGCATCGATCCACACAACTGGGATATGATGACATGCATCAACCAAGTCAACGAGCCTGACCACCCGATCGCCTCTTACGACAAGCATAGTCACCTTTTACGGCAGGCAAGGGTTGCTGAAGACCTATTCTACCCCGGATCTTCACGGGTCGAATTAGGAGGGAGTGAGTGAGTGAGTGAGTTGGAGAATTAGAAGTGAGTGAGTGGGGGGTAGCGCCTATTTGAACACTATTTCAGTTACACCAGCTGGGAGGGAATCCCAAAGTGGTGCAGGAGTTAGACGTTTAGCACGTTGGTGAAACCCACGAGTATAGGAGTGAGTGAGTGAGTAAGTGAGTCTGTTTTACGCCGCTTTTAGCAATATTCCAGCAACATCACTGCGGGAGACCCCAGAAATTGGTTTCACACATTATACCCATGTAGGGAACCGGACTCTGTCTTCGGGGTGACGAATGAACGCTTTAACCACTAGGCTACCCCACCGCCCCACATGAGTATAGGTATGGTGCTGACGAACATTGAAACATAATCAGTGCGAACCGGGATTCGAACCTAATACCATAGGTATCTGGCACACCCGACTTATCATCGGTCCGTCGACACAATACGACCTGCGTAAACACTCTAAAAGTACAAAGACCATGATCCATTCGGCTATACAATCAAGTCACTAACGAGATTCTTTAATTTATTTATTTCGTTTGTTTGTTTGTTTGTTTGTTGTTTAAGGCCACGTTCCAAAATTCCAGCTACATCACGTCCTATAAGTATTCTGGACCAAAGAAACCAGTATTTGAACCAGTG